TCTTCCTAGAACAGAATCCCAGGGCTGGGGCAGGAGTGGCTGATGTGGGGTTTGAACCCCTCCCTCCCCAAGGAAGACATCTGTGCACGTACTCTCTCTCCTACCTGTGGGGTCACCCTGCCAAGGGTTTGGCTCCTTACTTGCCCCTCCTACCCTTCTCGATGTGGCTTTTTCTCTATACCTTTAGCAGTGGAAGAGATTTTTGCTGGTCGTCAGGTTATTCTCAAAATGAGTTGCTTTGTATGTAGTTGCAGCCTTGGTGTGTACATGGAAGGGATGAGCTTCCTACTTTGCAGCTTCCCCTCTTATATTTTGTCTACTTGTTTCTGCACTAGAGTGTGAGCCCCTTAAGGCAGGGACTTTTTGTCCACTCTTTAGGTCCCCAGAATGCAAAACAGTACTTGATCCCATAATAGGTCCTCAATATAAATGTGTAGAATGAATGAGTAGACCTCAAGTAACTTAACATTCAACTTTTTTTTCTCTTAGGATGGAAGGGTTGTAACGTCATGGTTCTCCTACCCTCAGTGCTTCATTTCTCTCTATAATTTCTAGGAACTTGGGTTTTTGTTTGTTTTTTTTTAAAGATTTTACTTATTTTAGAGATAGTGTATGAGTAGGGGGAGGCGCAGAGGGAGAGGGACAAGCAGATTCCGTGCTGAGAGCAGAGCCTGATGCAGGGCGTGAGACCCCACGACCCTGAGATCACCAGCTGAAATCAAGAGTCGGATGCTCAACTGATTGAGCCATTCAGGTGCCCCAGAACTTGGGCTTTTGTTTTGATCCCCCAAAAAGGAGCGAGATATAATATACTTTGGTAATATTTAGCTGTTACTGAGAAACTAAACCAAGATGTAAAAACAGCACTAAGATTAGGCCATTTATACATTTAATTGGAATAGTAATAACCATAGAAGGTTAAGAGAAATACCTGTTCACTTAATAATTTGTATCAGGAAAAATTATCCCTCTTAAAATTGCTATGGAGGTACAACCCCAAATTTCCTAAATATGTACATTATAGCTAATGTATGATATAAGCCAAATACTTTGTATAGTTGAATAACTAAATACTTGCTTAGGTTTCTTGACTTTCAGAGACATGTAGAAAAATTCTAAATACCACAGTGCCTCACAGAGTATAAGCTTATGGGTCTTTTTATTTTTGGTTCATTGTATTTACAAGTAAGTGGACTTCTGCACTGTAAAATAACACTCTTCCAAATTAATTGCATTCACTTTTGAAATGTTTTAGATTTACACACTCATAGTGGGCCAAATGGGTCTGACTCCCAATATGGCATATGATTTGGGATTATGGAGAAATTCATTAAAGTGAATCTCATGTATGCATGTATTGACTAGTTTAATCATTTAAAGTAATCCTTTGCTTCTTGCAGTTATTGGTGCCCGTCTTGAATAATGAAGTTTGAATTTCACAAATGTGCAATAATTCCATACCTTTCCTGCAGCATGCCTGAGCATATAAGCTGTAATAAGGTATTACTCAAGGTAACAAATGATTGGTGCTTATTAAGGACAAAATAAGCCTCTTGATTTGTGTATTTGCTAATAATAGTTCTGCTTGGCTTTAATGTGAACACTGAGAAATAGACAAGTTCCCAAAGGATTCTCTGTCAAAATTACAGGTTTAGGCTAAGCTAAAGCACTTGGCTATGTTTTCGTATTTTTAATGTATATGAGAAAGATTCAGAGTTCTCTAGTGGTTAGAATCACGCTCTTCCCAAAAGGCTCTCTTGCATAGCAACAGTGAAAACAGATCCAAGTTCGTGACTCTCTTAAACTAATTCAGTTAACTAAAGCAAAGATTACAGATTTCATGTAATAATTATGGCATGCTTTGAACAAGTCATTGTATTGCTGACAAACCTTAAGAGCATGACCAGTGAAGAGCTGCCCAAATAAGTCAGTCTGTTATGTTTAACAAACACAGAGAGTTCTTAGGCATTGGAACATACCATGATGATGTAAAAAGGTGCTCTGATGTGTTCTTCATACCAGACCGAAACGTCACATTTTGTGCAAAAGTCCGTGTTTATACCAGTGTTCTGTAGGAGCCATCTATGACCAAGCTTCAGCTTAAACACGTCTTTGTGGAGGTCATTAGACTGTTACACAGTTTAACTAATTTGAATATTCCTTGCTTTTTTAAAACCATATTCTCTTTGAATGTTGGACATACTAACCACGAAATTCTTCATTTGTGCAATGTGTTTAAAAGCATTTGGCTTTTTCTATGTGGGAATATCTACTGAAAGGAAGAACCCAAGATATTTTCATGTAGAAATAAAAAGCCAAATGCTTTTGTGTCTGAGACTTCTGAAATAGTTGACCCTGTTCAACAGCTACTTGGTCTATAAAATTTGATGTAACTACGATCTCAGTCTGTCACCTGTAGCAAGACAATGCAGTAGCATCCCAGAACTCCGGGAGAACATATGTCCACCCAAACTATTTTGCTGCCACTTTCTACAGCCTTTGCCATGACCTGCATCTCCACTGTGGGACTTGGGGTTTATGGGTTTAATTTTTAGTGTAAGTTAATGCAATGGTAGGAATTTTTTTTTACCCGCAAGAATAAAATAACCATGGTTGTGAAATGGGTTTCATTTATTTTTTTGATATGATTAATGCCCAAAACCTAAGTCAAAACACTTCATTCTGAAAGTAAGTGTAACCTATAGTAAATGAAATGATTTGCTGCTGAAATGCCACAGTCTGATGAGTTTTGTGACCTTACAGTAAACTGGACTTACACCACTCTGTCCATTAGAACTTCCGCTTGAACTTCCAAGAAGACAAGTCCTTTTCTCTCCAAGAGTGTAGGAAAAGATTTGGGGGAGTAGCAAGTTATTTTTGCAAAGCTATTTTCTTTATAATGAACAGGCATAACGATAAGCTAATTTCAAGGTTTACATACAGACAGAAGGAAGCTATAACATGTCATCATTATAAGTCTTCCTGATTATAGGATTTTGAATGTTTGTGACTTGGAGTAACAACATCTATTTGAGGACTCAGACTGTGATGGGCATTCGCTCTATAAAGAGAAAGCAACATTAAATAAACCTGACAGTAAAAGAAATGCAGGCCATGAACAGTTTTTTGTTTTTGTTTTTTTTAATATCTATATAAAAAATAACGAGCGATTTACAGATCTCTCTAATCAGAACCTCAAGTGTGTATATATAAAGGTACTGTACAATATATAAACATTTACAACCAGTACATCCATATTTTGCTTAGCATTCCAAGGCCACATTGCTAAGTCAGTATATAATCAGTACAGTGACAGGTTACTTAGAAAGAAAAGAGCCACATCAGACTGACAACATATGACATCGAAGTTATGCCACAGTTAATAAAAATAGGATTTTTTTATCACTAATTAATTGTGGACTATAGGGAAAATAAATCATTTCTGTGGTGCTAAATTCTCAGCATGGATCAAGCCTCCTAATAATTTTTCTCTATTCAAGTAGTTATAATAGGTGGGTAAATATAGTTCCGGATGGAAGGGGAGTTCAGAAATCTCACTCTGGGAAGCATGTCTCAGCTACAAGGGTGGCTTCGGTTGGTACGTTAAAGACTTTCACAGTTGGACTCTGAGAGGACAGGGCCTGGACGTACCATGTTTCACAAGAACAAGATGAACCCAGGTGACAGAACAGGTGTGTTCAAATACTCCATAAAATGGTTTTGTTCTGAGGAGATTGTTCCTTTATTCAGAGCTGCTACAGGGGCCTGAAAATCCTGGATCTCTTTTATGGAGCTAAAAACGGTCTCTACCTGCCAGCAAACATCTTTACTGAGGCTTTTTCAAAGGACTCCGAAAATGTGTACAAGCTAAGCAGATGTCTAGTCTCCCTTTCTTGTTTGTTTTTTAAATAAGTTAACATAGCTAGAAATTAAAACGAAATCAGATCTAGCAAGGGCTGTCTACCACCACGTTGGTCCTCTTGCTGAGCAGGTCTGAACGCAGGTCCTGCCTCGAAACACCTGAGCTCGGACAGCTACTGCCGGAGGCGTGGTCCTCTATCTGGGAAAGTGCCTTGCGATCGAGGCCCTCACGATCCGTACGATGTTTTGACTCTTCCCGTACGCACTATGTAGTAACGACTAACGAATGAGTAGTAGGAGGTCCAACCCAAATATCCAGAAATAGAAACCTGGTAGTTTTTCTCTGAACAGCAGTAAGCAATATTTCCACATGCTGCTTTCCGGTTTCCTAACAAAATAAACTGAAGGAAAAGGCCGACCTGAGATACTAAGACCACACATCAGGGTTGGAAAATAACAGCAGGAGGGGGAACTCTTCATTGTCTAAAGCACTAGCTCATTTTAAACATCCAATTGTAAGTAATATCTATAAGTTACCTGAAATACCTGATCCAGCCGAATTAAAAACCCTAAGAGAGTGTCGTTATCTGACTCCATTTTGTTTTTCTTTTCAGTAGTGATGTTTTGGAATTTCACTTTTAAACTGGGACTGCGCCATCACCTGTAGCTGTTAGAAGAGGCGACTGCCATCTTTTAATGATGAGCTAACAACCCCTTCTTCTGCAAGGACTCAAATGCGTCTCTCTGTAAACATGCAGCATGCTATTGAGAATATCGACTTCCAAGCCAAACCGAGTTTTCCCATTCCTGTGGGAACAGCTGAGTGAGATGGATAAGACAGACATGACACAGTAGATAACCTGGCGCAGGTATCAAGGGAGCTGTGACCAGGCCGTGCACGTGCGCTCGCGTCACTTGGGGCCCCCGCGGAGGCGGGAGGGCGGCCGCCCGGGGGACGGTTGGTTCGCAGCGGGCCCGAAGGCGCTTCGTGCAGCCTGGCTAACCGGATGCTCAAATCAAAATGTGTCGTGTTCCAGAATTTCAGGAAAAAAATGACTTTGTGGGGTTTCGTTTTGGAAAAATGCCACTTTTTAGTAAGAAAAGATTCCAACTTGTTTTTCTTTGTTTTATACCGAAGGTCACAGCCGTTTCTCGGCCACACCAGTAGTGCCTGCCGCTTTGTTTGCACTTGGCACCTTCCAGGGCCCTGGAGCTATGGGTGTTTTCTTAACGGGAGAAGCGCTCTCAGGTTGGAACCCTCCGCTCTCTCTGGTTCTGTCGGCTGCCTCTTGTTCTTTTCCTCGGGGAGCTCGGGTTTTGTTTAAAACCATCCTTTCTTCAGGGTCCTGCTTCAGCTTCTGGTCTGACAGTCTGGCATCTTCTCCTGGCTTCTTTTTGCTGGAGCCTGTCTCTCCTAAGGCCAAGGCCGCCTTCTTTCCTTTCTCCCTGTCAGGTAACAGTCTACTAGCGGCGGTACTAGTCTTTTTGGGTGGAAGGGACTTTTCGTCCACCCTCGTGCTTTTCTCTGGAGACCGTGTTCTGTTTTTTGCAGACTGGCTCTGCTTCGCGTCCTTCTGGACAACACCCGATTCTTCTCTGCCCTCGGAGATCTGCTCGGCCCCGTCCCTCGCGCGGGCCCCGCCCCCCCGACTCTCCGACTCTGAGGACCGGCCTTTGCTTCCCTCCGTCTTCTGCGGCTGCTTTGGGCTCGAAGACCGTCCTCTGCTTCTTCCGCAGCCATCTTGTCCGGGACCTGCCCTGGTGCCCATCTGCCCCCCTTTACTGTCCCCTTTCCTGGGGCTGAGTGATCGATCTCTGGGTCTTCTTTTGGGGTCAGTAGGTAGAGGGCTGGGAAGCCTGTCTGAACGTCCTTCTGCATGTCGGCCGGCGGGCTTTCTGGGACTGGCGGATCTGCCTCTTTGTGGAACACCGTTTTCTACTCGGAAGAGATTTTTCTTGTCACTCTGCCCACGACTGCTGGGTGGATCCCTTTTATTCACATTTTTCTGGAGAAAAGAGTGCTGCTTTTTATCAGACGGACTTTCATTTAAAGTGCTTTTCTTTTCAGGCACACTATCCTTTAATTCCTCAGTCTTTTCACATGTCTGACCTCTCATTAAAGATCCTTCAATTACTGGCACGGGAGACGCCTCAAATATGGAAGCAGGATGGGAAGATGGGGGGAAGGGGGGCTGCTCATCATAAATCACATTTGAAGACGAAGGATTATTAACATCCCAATCACCTACAAAAAGGGATTTGAGTGGAACATCATTACATTTCAGAATTACAAATAGGAACAGTAAGTTCTGAACTCTGACAGCCATTTGGATTGGACTAACTGCTTAAACCAACAGCCTGAGTACAGATGCTGAGCTCTCTCGATAAAGGCAGGTGTGGTTGTACGCGAGGTGGTTGCACTTGTAGGGTGGTTAAATATACACAAAATAAGTCATTCTTCCAATAACTTATGTATAATTAGTGATATGAAGAATTTATACATCATATATGATAAGCAGTAAAGCCCAATGAAAAAGTTAGAAGAAATAAATAATACAATCGGACCAAATTACTTGGTCCAGGAAGCTCACTAATTTGGCCGTTATCAAAGGATACAGCCTACAGCTATGCAAAATCAATAATAAAGGAGACCCAACTGTGGTAGCCAGAACGAGGTTCGTGGGCACTTGTAAATAATTTTCTTGCATTAAGCTGTCAACTTTAATGTCAAAAGGGAACTGAAAAGTGCAGAAGATAGAAAGGGATGTATTTAATAGCATCATTTTTAATTAAACAGAAAAAAAAAGAAGGAAGTGATTTACAAGACATGCAAATTTACCAAGTCTTTTTAAGGAAAGACCAAGAAAAGCCCTGAAAGCCTTAATGTTGCTCAGGTTTCACGTAGGAGCACAGACCGGAAGGAGCCAAACCTGAAGAAGGAAGAGAAAAAGCCTAGGACTATGTAAAAAAAAAGAAAAAAAAAAAATCAGCGCAGTTAGCAAAGATGTCACTGGGAACGTATGGTTTACAAGCAGATGGTGGAAGATCACACAGAGAATTATAGGCTGGAAGGGGACTGCAGGAGGTCACGTCTATACTTGTCCCTCAAAATCGCTCCAGGTTGGGGGGGGGGACTGGAAGGGACACGTCCTAGTGGCGTGGGGCTCTCTTTCCAGGCTAGTGCACTCGATTAAACAATGAGTTTCAAATCCTGTGATATTTCAAAACCAAACAGTGAAACCCAGGAAGCTGAGGATCAGTACAGGAGTCCAGACATGGTCCCACGTCCAACTCCCTGACCCCAGGTAGGGCCACAGTAACTTGTTTTCGACAAGTGACCAGAAAACCCTAAAGGTCTTAGCATTTGAAGAGATTTCAGATATTTTTCATGGCATTTAAATCACTTGCTTCCGATATCCTTGTTTTTTTTACAGGCACGTTTCTCTACAAAAGCAACTATATGTTTTCTATGGAAATTGCTTCACATATTCCATCCCAACAAAAATCATGCCTGAAGTCGCTTATTTTGTAGTATTATAATACCTATGCTGTGTAACTAGTTTCAGGCGGTTCTGCTGTTTACCTTTGAACTAGCCAGTCAACTGTCTCTCCCCTTCCTTTCCTGCGCTGTTCCCTCCCTGACACATCAGCCACGTTTCAGCTCCAGGTGAACGATGTGACTTACCGTGGTCCGGTATCAAGCCAGTTCCTGGTCTCAAAAGCAGAAGAACTTTATTTCCACCGGCCTGAATGAGCTCAATTGCTCGAGTATGTGTGATGCCTTGTGTAGGCTCCCCATTGATTTCGACAATCTGGTCACCCACCTAGAGAGGGAACATTCACGGGAACAACATGAAACAATGCATCCTTCTTCACTTCTGCTCTGTCCGCTCTAGAGCCACCCAAGCTTGCTAAGTGACTCTCTCTCAGTTGTCAGATGTGTAACTTGTACACAGTGCCATCGTGCTAAGGCTGATAACGAGTGGACAGAGGAGAGCCACAGGAAAAGACAGTGGCCAGCTTTATTTACTCCGTGGAAATCCTACAGGAGAAAGTTTTATATGACTAGTAAACGGGATCCTGGCACCTTGAAATCATGAATCAGATTCTGAGTTTTCCACCAAAGGATAAGTGCCACAGGAGGTGAGGTCTCTATAATCCACCTGATACTACAGGGCTGTCACTGAATGATCCACCTGTGAAGGGTACTTTCCAATTTGAGCTGAATCTTGAATTTATTTTCTGAACTCTGGGCAGGTGGGTCCTCATCTTTGAAGGCTTTCTGGGCCTCCGGGGAGAACTGCCCACTCCTTCGTGTTGCCCACACATCCTGTACATGTATGAGGCATTTGATAACTGGAATATTCAGAGACGAAAACTCTGAAAAACTGCAGCTTGGAGAATATATTAATATGAATACTTATTTAAAACCAATAACGGGCTTACACTCATGACTTTAATGTAAAATGATTTCCCTAAGAAACATAAAACTAGGGATCAGAAAAAAATGCCTCAGTATCATTGCTATTTACTGGAAATGCTGTATAGTTATTTTTTAAAAAAGGGATAATACAGATGAGTCAAGTATAACTTTTGCAAAGGACCTAAAGATAACGATGATAGTGGTTTTAAAACAGGTGACAAACACACGAAGGGTACTGGCTTCAAAAGAGAAAAACTGAACAATGGAAAACTACTGAAATTCCAAGAAGCTCAAATATTTATAAGAGCTTACTAAAACGATCCAGAAATAACACAACACAAGATGGCCCAGTAATTATTTAACAGAGGCTGGGGGGAAGTCTGTATCCACAGATAGCACAAAGCACAGTGGCCAGGAAGCTGGGCTTTGGCGTCCTAACGTCTGTGGTTCACTCCTGGCTCTTCCTTCTGCTGGCTGGGTGGTCTCTGGTTCCTCCCCGTTAAATGGGGATAATATCTTGGGGCACTGGGGAGGATTTAATGAGAGAAAACCCGATTACACACCAAACCAAGACAAATGTTACTTTTCAAGTTCTCTATCTCCCCGTCTTGCCAAAAAAGACTTCAAGTGCATCCGGATGAAGATTTACCTGAGGCTGGAGCCCACTCTCTACATTGCAAAAAATGTCAAGTCAACTATGAGAAAGAAATGAGATTGTTTTGCTTCATATTTATGGAAAAAAATAAAAGAGGAGTCTCTTGAAGAAATGGAGGCTATCAAGTAAGCTAGATAGATTGAACATAGAAAAAGGATTGTTAAACAAAATAATAAACATAGGATGGAAAAAAATCATACACATATAATAAAAAGCTTATATCTAGAATATATGTGAGACAAAAGTCAATACCCAGATTTCCCTAATAAGTGACTGAAGAAAAATTATTTGCATGAGGAAATACACATACTAAGTTAGTACTGGGTATAAAATCCTGCTGATAATTAGAGAAATGAAAATTAAGGCAGACAGTATTGGGAGCATGCTTTGGGTGTGTCTTGTGAAACATGACTGAGGTCACTGATTGCAGTCACATTTTCTGGCTTAAATTTACTGTCCTAAGCAGACTATTTCTTACACTTTTAGTACAACAAATGAATCGCAATAAAGCTTGTAATTGAACAGATTTGCCACCAGGTGTCATTTTCGTTTAACTTTAAAACCACATTGTGGAGAAGGACACTAGAACCCCATGGCTTGAAGATCTCTGGCAGACAGGCCCTCAGAGGGGGAAAACTTCTCTGCTGGACTGTATGGAGCTGGAGATTTAAAAAATGGCACCTTTGAGACAGAAATGTGAACACTCTTTGAGAAAATTCTGTTACTTTTAAAAATTTTACATGTGGAATGTATCTTTTGGGTAATGTGGAATACGTATCGAGGAATACATCTTTTGATAAATAGAACCAATAATGATTCGAGTTCAGGTTTGTATGACTGAAAAATAAAATCATGGGGGACAGAGGAGAGAAGAGGGAGAAATCAAAGGGAGGGAAAGAGGAGAATAGGAGAACCAAAGGAAGAAAAGACGTGGGAAGAGGGGCTAGAGAAAAATTATGTTCCTTAAAAAAGTTACTATATTAACAGCAGCCGCTAAAAATGTACATTTTGTATTAAAATTACAAAATAATATTTCTAGCACACTGCTTACATGACCTTAGAAGGCCTTGAGAACCTATACGCTTCCCCCAAACAGTCCCATCTAGAAAGACACCAGCCAGGGCCTGACGTGGGAAGCACGAGGCCTGGGCTCACAGGACCAAAGCCCGGGGTCCCACCGCGGCCGCCACAGGCCGAGTGACCCCAGCAAGGGATTAGTCTCCCGGAGCCTCAGTTTTACATCAGTAAGTGGGGATAATGCCACCTCCCTTAGAGGGTTTTTGTGAGACTAAAACTAAGTCGAAACACGTGCTGCCTGGAAGACGCCAGACTCCACATTTTCTAAATCTGATTCTGTCCTACAGTAAAGATCTAACTAAATCCGACACTATCCCCTAATATGAGCTTTTCCCACTCAGCTGATCTCGTTCCCTTCGCCCAGAACCCCCTTTTTCACTCCTCTCCAGATCTTAACCAGATTTAGGACGGCTTGAGACTCACTAAATGTAGAGATCCCCTTGACTCTCAACGCCTTTCCATCTGTGTTACAGGCTAACCTTCCCTTGTCTTACTGAACCGCACTCTTACACTGTCTGCCCAGCTGCTTCATCTAGCCCAGTCCTGTCTACGCAGCAGTAAGTTCCAGGAGCTAATCTTGAGAAAAACAGTCCTCATTATAAGTATTTTTCATCCATTCTACTCTTTCAACAAACATCTACAGAGCATCTACCATAACCATTCAAGGCCCTGTACCAGGACCGAAGATACTGACATGATAGGTACAGATAACCTACCAGACCAAGCGAGGGAGGAGGAGAGGGAGGCCGGGGGGTGAGGCGGGGAGGGAGCTCAGGCAGCTCCACGGTGCGAGTTTGCTGGAGATAAACTCTCCTCATTTGGGCAGTGGCCCCCAGACTCAGTTGTCATTAGTAACAAAGCTCCCATGATCCTTAGCAAGTCAAGATTTTGACAGTTTGGTAGCCAGAAAGAGAACGCTTCTCTGAAAAGCTGATTTCTTAGAGTTTAGAACAAACCTGGGCATAATCGTAATAGCTTATTTCCTTTTGTTTTCAAGTATCAGAGCTTTTGAAATGAGTTGGTTTAATCATGGAAGTCCAAAGCTCCCATTCATTTGTCAAGAATGGTATGTCTTAGGAACAGACTTTGCCTGCTTCAAGGCCTGTTTGCCTTTTGTTTAGTGAGATTCGTGCATCTGAGGGTTATACTTGGAATCAACGTTTTAAAATTATATCCTAGTTTCTGGCCTTTTTTTTTTTTTTTTATGACACTCAATACAATGGGAGATTTTTTTTTTTTTTTTTTAAGTAGGCTCCATGCCCAGCGTGGAGCCAAATGCAGGGCTCAGACTCACGACCCTGAGATCAAGACCTGAGCTGAGATCAGGAGTCAGATGCTCAACCAACTAAGTCGCCCAGGCACCCCTACAATGGGAGATTTTTAAAAAACCAACAGATTTGGGGCGCCTGGGTCACTCAGTCGTTAAGTGTCTGCCTTCGGCTCAGGTCATGGTCCCAGGGTCCTGGGATCGAGCCCCACATCCGGCTCCCTGCTCAGCGGGGAGTCTGCTTCTCCCTCTCCCACTCCCCCTGCTTGTGTTCCCTCTCTCGCTGTGTCTCTCTCTGTCAAATAAATAAATAAAATCTTTAAAAAAACAACAAACCAACAGATTTAAAGTATACCCAAACAAATTTTTAAAAAAGAGGGGGAAGAAAAAGGACCAATCTTTCTCTACTGAAATCTTACCCACTTTCCACTGCCATCCATTCTGTGAGATCTCCACTCATCCTCACCTCTTTGAACTTGTGCACAAGTCTGGTCATTTTTAAGAAGGGTGGTATCTTGTTTTAGGGACCCCCCCCCCACTTCTCCCAGCTCATTCAGTACTCATTCATAAAAGCTTTGGGTAAAGCAAACACTCAACACATGTTTACCAAGTGAGTAATGGGAGTGGGGCAGTGATGTGGAAAATTCAAAACTGCAATCACCTGGAAGCCTTTTCCAAACATTATTAGACTATACCATCTGATTTTTAAACAAAAATTATCTTCCCTGCTGCCTACGGGTGGGAGAGGGAGGAAATCCAAAGTTCTCTTGAGCAGTAGGGGGAAGGCTGTCTAGAATTTAAAATTTTGAATGTATCACCTAACAGTACCAGTGAATTGTTTTTTTAAAAATCGAGGCCAACACATGTCCCCTACGTAACATTCCTCTTGAAGTAACATTCAGAGGCAGGGCGAAAATACCTTATGTGCAGATGCATAGACAGTCTGGTCTGCAGTGCCCCGGTACAAAGCTACAGGGTTTCAGAGTTGAGAACACCTAGGACAGACCATTACCCAAGTGAATTCTAGTCTTTCAAATAATAGTAAAGGTTGGGGGAGTCATGCTTTTTGATCTCTGGCTATCTCTGTGGGTAGCTAAGAGGAAAAAATAATCCTGGGCCTATTATTTCTGGGAAGAAGTTGAAGATTCTGTTTTATCCTGGCTTTTCCAAGACTTTTAATAAGATGAAAGTATATTTTATTTACGAATCCATTTGCCCTCAAACGTTGACGGTGTAAGTAAAAACTAAGTTTCCTTATTGCCCAAAGTCAAGACGGTAAAAACAGCATCAGTGCGGTATCGCCTAGGACACCAGAGCAAGGCCATGAAATCACCAGGCATCGGAAAGTAGAACAAAGAGCAGCTGCTTTCAGGTCTAATGACGGAAAACTTTGCTACTTAGCTTTGGGAGGTTTCTGCACTCCCTTTGATCATCTATTTTCAGTCATTTCCAGTCTGGAGCCAGAAGCAAAGGTTGCGGAAGGAAGCCAACTCACGTGAATCCTGCCGTCTTTGATGGCGGGGCCCTCCTCAGCAAGACGCAGGATGAACAGCCCCATGTTGTACTCCTTCCCGCCACGGAGGCTGAACCCAAAGCCCCGGGGGCCTCTCTCCAGCTCCACTGGGTAACAACCAAGGCTCTGGGAGAGAAAGAAGTGTAAGAAAAGTTCTCGTGGGCTGCTTTATTGACAGCTTGAAGAAAGACTACTTTTAGAGCTGGGACATTATGACTTATACACTCAATATGCATTTCTACATCATAAGAAAGGAATGAAAGTTTTGGTTGAACAGCTACTTTATAAATGCAGTCTAAATTAAGCTGAAGATCACGTTTTCTCTACTAATTGGTCAATGTGCAACAGGACGATCAGAGAATAGAATTTGGGGAAATGCTTCCTTTAAGGAGATTTTGACGAATTTTCCATGGGGAAAAAAAAAATCGAAACCCTCCTTTGGTGAACTCAAACACTGCTATTGCTAAGTACCGGACCCAGGGTGTACATTTCTCCAATTACAGGGTAAACTTTTTCACTCTTTTACGTTCTCTCATGGAGGCTAATGGGATGCCAAACACACAGCAAGTCCTCAAGAATTATTAATCTTGGGAACAAATGTGTCCGAACTGATCTGTAATAAAAATTCACCAGCGTCAGCGATGTAGCAACTGAAAATAACAGTCCATATCTGGGTTGGGGGGGTGTGGTATCCGTTTACCTGATTGTGCCGGGTGCCTACAATCGAAATCATTGCCGTGTCAGGCTGGGCAAGGTGCTTGTGGTCAGACCATGAATGTCTGTAAGAAGTGGGGACATCTTTCCCGATTTCACCTTCTAGAGCACTTCTACGAGAGAGAAATCCAGTCACTCTCTGAACTGAGGAAATGAAACCAGTTTGAAAGTAAAGGCGAATTAATTTCTTTTCAAAGCTGAAGCTGGCCATTCTCTGGACAAACCGCCGTGAAGACAGGCCATGCCTAGACCCGGAGATGCTGGGCAAATCTGGTTGTTAACTCCAGCAGCCAGTATCTCAACACCCCACGTTGGTTTGGTTTGGTCTTTGTTTTAAGGGCGTCTCGGTGCAGTTCACAGCAAGGAAAACTGCAGTCAGGTCACCGACCCGGGGGGCCGATGAGTGGACGTCGTCCGTGAGAAACGGCTCTCCGGCAGTGCCAGTGCCCCGACGCTGAGTTTCTGGAAATCTCGTTTTTGTTGCATGGCTAGTATTCTCAACGAGAGAAGAAAGAAATACGTGCAAACACTGCTCTGGTCTGCTCAAGCAGTCTGAGGAGAGAGCTGGCACGTGGGCCTGGGCCCCCACCAAAATGAGGAGGGCCTAGAGGAGCACAGCCAGGCGCTACTGTCCCTTCTTGTTTTCTAACCCCCATTCGTCAGGCACGGCTGGTAATTACGTTGCGCCCTGAGGATGCGGCTGGAGGAGGGATGAGGTACTGAGGGGGTGCAGGGTGTAGGAGCGCATCTGAAGGGGTACCTGTGTGGGGGTGCGGGCGGGGCTGGGTGCTGAAGGGTGGGGCGATGACATAAAAAAGCCCAAAGCTGGGGAGAGCAGCCTCACCTGTCCCCAGCTGTGTGGTTGGTCTGGGACTGCCCTGTGGCTCTGTGCTGCAGGGCAGGGCTCTGCCTGGCGGAGTTTGTTCCTGAAGGCGGACCATGATGCTCTGTTTGAGTGAGAAAACAATAAAAATAAGACTTTGCACATAAACACGTAAAGGCCGAGTGGTCTGCGAAGGTGAGACAAGACCACGTGGTTACAGCCTTCCTGATTGTAGTGACTGCAGCACGAGCAGCACGGCCATCAGCAGGCATGTCTGGAATCGGAACAGTAACGTTTTTTTTCCCCCTGTGGCTTCGAGGAATGCTTATGTTTGAAGAGAACAGGAATCCTGTTCTTTGGGTCATCCATACAACATGAAAATCAGAAATGTACACACTGGACAATGTTACCTAGAGGACAGAGCTCCAGGAACTATCCTGTAGCCTACACTATGGGCTTCCGGAGCACACCCCTGAAACTGGTAAACAGCTCTAGATGACAAAGACGGCTCTCAGGAGTGCTGGGACACAGACGCCAGTCTGCAAACCACACACAGGTCTGTGAACCCATGTCTTTTAATGTTGGGGCGATTATTTTGCCTGACACGAACACCTAAGACAAACTTCTAGAACCATCCCGAGTGCTGACAAATGTCTGCGAAGACTTCGCTGTTTCTGTTTTCTGAGGGGACAAATGCAGGGGGAGAAAGTTACCATTTCTTTCTGTATCATTGCCAGCAGCCCCAGACCTCCCTGAAGGCAGGTTTCATAACTGGCTGCATCGAGATGCCAAGTCACGGGAAGCAACAGTTAGGAGAGACTCTTAAGGCTGTCACACTCATATTTGTAAAGCTGGAACTTTCGAATGTTTTATCCTGTCCATAATATTAAACACAGGATATTCAAAACATCAGAGAGAGGGAGCCTAGCTTAGTGAATAAGACCATGAACTCTGCCCCAAGACTGGCAGGGGTTAAGCCTGACTCATCATTTACTAGCTGTGTGTTCTTGAGGAAATTACTTACCTTCTCTGTGCTTCTAATCATCTCATCCATAAAAAGTGAATTATAGCCACCTCATGGGGTTATCGTATTAAACAAGAGTCAAACAGCGCCTGGCATATTATACTCACTATATAAATGTTTCTATTATCATTATCATAATCATCAAAATGATAAAGTCTTATTTGGGACTATATTTCTCTTAAAGTATATATTCTGAAATACTGACCTTACTTAGCAAAAATGTTCAATGCTTTCAAGTCAAGTGCTCTAGGAAGGAAGAGTGGAGTATGAACTTTTTTGGGGGGGGAGGGGACCTGGAAATTTGTTGCTCTTTTAAATTACTATCATGAATTTTATTTTCCTATTTAGCTTGACAAGCTACTTAGGTTGCTCCTCCTTGCTGATCTCCTTACCAACCCCATGTGCACTCCGCTTCTGGAATCCAGTCCTAGCATATCAACTGAAACAAGCCTCTGCCTTGCTTCAAAACTTATGGTAACTTTTTATTGCTCATAAGCTACTACCCAGACTCATCACCTGGGCACTCGTGTCTTCCCACTTCATCTCCTGTTCAGAATATCACCTCCTCTGTGAGATCTCACCTGGCCCTGTAAACACACTGTCTTCACAGCATTTACCGCCCGATGTGAAGCCAGGCGAACACCTGTTTCTCCTGCTCGACCCTGAACTCCTTGATTGCAGGAATCACACCTCATTTACGTTTATATTCCTGTCCCCACCAGAAGTCCTTCCACTTTTGCTCACTGGGTACATCAATTCCAAGTTCCCTACCTCTAATCTTAAGTGCCCGTTACATAGCTGAGTTCTGGTCTGTCTGTTGCAAATTCACGGCTACTATTAAGGGAATGGAAACTGATGGGAGAAGTTACTTGTATCAACAAGATGCCCGGGGGATACTTGTACCTTTGTAGGACTCCAACTTAGGTAATTTTCTGGCTCCACTAGCTTGGCTAGCGCAGTGGGTGTTTAACTTCAGGACAGGAAAAAGAAGCTGACCAATTTCATCCTCTCCTCTACCTTTCCCCGAGGATGAGATGCCACTTATGTAGCATCTGGGACCACAGATTGGTTGCAGTCCATGTTCTTTCCTTGTCCTCGTCAAGGTTAAATAAAACTTTCTATCATTGATATTTTTTTTTCAGTTTTAGTCCTCTGACTCATGCTACATGGCTTCTCCAATTTATTTCTGTATTAAGAACCGTTCTATTTCTCAAAGTTAAATATCCCAAGATGCCAAACAGGCCTATGCTCTCTCAGTTTTATCTGAAATTTCTTCAGATAGTAAAGCAATGGGTTAAGTATATCTCTCCTTCAATGAGAATTAAACTTTTGCTGGAGTTTCTGTGTGTAATTATTTAAGAGAAAGTATATTATCAGGAAAAACACAAATCCCATAAACTATAGTGACAAACATCATAATGTATTGTGAATCATCCTTTGCAAGAATAAATGAGAACCCTATGACAGTACTTTCTAAAACTCTACTAAAGGACACAAAAGATGATCTGAATAATTAGAGAGACATCCCATGCTCTCAGGTGTTACGACTTAGTATTTAAAGGTATACATTTTCCCAAAGTTAATATATATTCAATATATCTGAATAAAAATTGCAGTTGGATTTTTTGGAAGAACTTAATAATTTGCTCTAAAATTTTATACAGAAAAGTTTTATGAATTTCTAGTCAATTTGGAGGGTGTGTGTGGGGGGTGGTTGGGTAAAAACTTTCCTGAACATACCACAAAGTTAAAGTTTTTTTTTTTAAGTGTGTGTGGATAGATATACATGCACATACACACTTTAAGAATATATTATGTGAAGAAATATATATGTAAATTAACCCAAGAAAAGATGAATCAATAGAACAGAGCAGCTAGGAGACGAGACCCGAGCGGTGGCTCCATGGATCAATGAGAAAAAGAAGTGATCTAATAGGTTGTGCCAGAAAAACCTGCTCAGTATGAGAATAAAAAAAATAAAGCTATTCTTCCTAAAACTATATATAAAAGGGAGGCTCCAGATGCATTAAAGAACTAAATGCAAAATTATAAATCGAATAGATGATGATATAAGAGAAAATCTCTGTGACATGGGGTGGGGAAGGTTAACTTCTCTGAAATGAAACTTCAAAAGCGTAAGTCATAAGGTAAAAATGGGCTAATGGGATCACGTCTAAATTAAGAATCTCTGTACAGTGGAGGGCACCATGGTCAAAGTTAACATACAGATGACAGGAAAAGCTCTTTGTACTTTCTCAAACTAAACTGGACTATTGCCTACAAAATTCCCAAGGAATCTCTAAATATCAACAAGAAAAAAGACTGAAATCCCACAAGAAAATGAGTCAAGGATGTGAAGAAGCAATCCACAAGAAGAAAAAAACCCCAGAAAACAAGCATCTGATGAGATGCTCAAATTCATGGGTAATAAGAGAAATGCAAGTTTAACACCAATGAGAGGACACTTCCCACACTTGGGCCAGTCTGAAAGTAGGCTCATGCCCCATCCTGGCGGACACGTGCAGCTATAGAACTGTCCATGTTCTGCTGCTGGGAAGGTAGGTGCAGCAATTATGGGGGACAGTTGGACAGCACCTGGTCAAATTAAGCACATGTATATGCTCTGATCAACCACCTTCACTCCAAGAAATTCTCACACTATTTATAAAGTACGTATATGCAGGTGTTTAGGAAAAATAGAACAGTGGAAGGAAACCCCATAGCAGTACATGCTTTAAAGTCTAGTTCAGGGACACCTGGGTAGCTCAGTCGGTTAAGCATCTGCCAGGAGGGCGTGTGATGATGTGGCTGTCTTGGGGGGGAGTGGGTGGGTAATATGTTGTAAACATACATTATGAAAAAACTGTCAAGTTGTTAAAAGCAATTGATTGTGTTCCTCCAGCAACCTCCACCAAATCTTAAAATTGGTGCTATGACACCAAAAGCATAAGCAACCAAACAAAATGTAGATTAATCGGACATCATCATTAAACTTCTGTGCATCAAAGGACATTATCAAGAGAGCGGAAAGACAACCTGCCGAATGGGAGAAAACACTCGCAGGCACAGAACTGTTAAGGATCTAATATCAGAATATATAAAGAAGTCTTACAATTCAACAATAAAAAAAGACAACTCAATTAAAAGTGAGGAAAATATCTGAACAGACATTTCTCCACAGAGGATATACTGATGGCCGAGAGCACATGAAAAGGCTCAACATCACTAGTCGTCGGGGAAACAAAAATCAAAACCACAACGAGCTACCATGTCACACTCACAGGAAAAAGAAGATGTGACAAATAAATGCCCTGTAAGACCCTGGATCAGATCCTGGAATAATAACGCGACGTTAAAGAAACATATGGTTCTGAGAATTTGGAGAAGAAAACCAACATAAAATCTATAGCACAATACTATTTATGTAACTCAAAAATAAATGTCAACACACACACACAGTTATGTATTTTAAAAATAACCCGAGGCACACACAACACACTGGAATGGTTGCCAGTGGGAGTAGGGAGAGAAATGACAGTGGAAGATATAGACAAAGGGAAAAAGCAGATAAATAAATGGAAAACAAAGCCAAAAATTGGTGGCAACGCTATCAGAGCTGTCCTAACGCGGTCCTCGGGAGCTAGGGTGACCTGTGTCACTCTTAAACATGGGATGGGGGCGCCTGGGTGGCTCAGTTGTTAAGCGTCTGCCTTCGGCTCAGGTCATGATCCCAGGGTCCTGGGATCGAGCCCCGCATTGGGCTCCCTGCTCAGCGGGAAGCCTGCTTCTCCCTCTGCCACTCCCGCTGCTTCTGTTCCCTCTCTCGCTCTCTGTCAAATAAATGAATAAAATCTTAAAAAAAACCCCAAAAAACATGGGATGACCAGGCCCTGGCACGGAAGTAGAAATCAATGTGGAAAAACAGTATGATGTAAAGATTTCTTTATGATCAGCAAGAAGAGCCAGGCATGGTCCATTTCCGTCCCGTTCCAGGACATAGGTCGGCACGGTGGCCGGGCCGCTGGCAAGGCTGGGAGCCTCGAGCCACCGACCAGTGGAGAGTTTTAGAGCAGACGTGACACGTGGCTTGGGAACTTGGTTAACCACTTCCCTGGTGCGAAAAACCGTAATTATTCAACAGTATCTGGTAAAAGGGGAAAACAGAATGGAAGGACCAGGTTCTTCTTTTTCCAGCTGTCTTTTATCTATGAACAGTGAACGGCTTCTGGGCAGTAGGGAAGGAGCACCCGAGGGGAAATACCGACTGATCTGAAGTTGTGATTTCTGAAAACAGCTCTAGGGCAATAAATACTCATTTGACTCTTCAGTGCAGTTGATAGATTTCATACCGAATACAATGAGAAACTTGGAAGACTTACAAACTCCACGAATGGGATTTTTATGGACAGAAGAGACACTTTCGACTTTTTTTTCCCGAGAAAAAGAAGAGATTCTGAATGTTTTCATAGTTTAATAACACTTGAGTATACAATAAAATAAGGTGTAATGCTGAAATGTGATTTTTACGTGTCAAATGTGATTGCACTTTAACAGGCTGTGCCTACATATGAAATACTTTATTTTTTATTTTTTATTTTTTTTAAGATTTTATTTATTTGAGAGACAGAGTGAGCAAGAGTGAGAGCACATGAGCAGGGGCAGAGGGAGAGAGAAAAGCAGCTTCCCCTGCTGAGCAGGGAGCCCGACATGGGGCTCGATCCAGGGACCCCGGGATCATGACCTGAACCAAAGGCAGATGCTTAACCGACTGAGCTACCCAGGTGTCCCTGAACTAGACTTTAAAGCATGTACTGCTATGGGGTTTCCTTCCACTGTTCTATTTTTCCTAAACACTGATTGGCACTATATAGAAAATCTTGAGTACGTCCAGAAGTATTTGGACCACAGTGTCAAAGTTAATTTTTCCTCCTAGAAAAATGCCTGAGCAATTTTGGATAACCTCTCAGAGAAAATAGCATCAATGATAAAAGGAAATTTTGGCAAAAAAAAAAAAAAATTCTATTACCAAACCCTCTATCCCAGGGCTACTGAGTATGTGGTTCTTGGGTCAGTCAGCAGGAAGATGTCTATAGATATTGAGAGTAAGCATTTAGAACATTTTCTAATGACTTGACAGAATGATTTTATGTCTTCATTTTTATTTTTCATTTAACTTTTATGTATTTAACAAAAATGCTGGCTGTGGTGGACTGGAAAAGTCACTGGTCCTTTTGACACATGGTTAGAGAAACACTGAGCCCCAGGACTGCTAGGCCCACTACTTCGGGGAGTTTCTCTCGCTGCTGTGCGCCAGGCATGCTGATGTAAGTGTAAGACCTCATTCTCCAAACAGACCTAAAATGTGATCTCCTGGGATGCCGATGCGGCTTTTCTTTGTGGGTCACAGAACAAATTTAAGGCTAAAAAGCAGGCTCTGGAGATCGTAGTAAAGAAATCACGGTGAAGAAATGGAGACAAAGAAACCTGACCCAAAGCACATTAAGTAACAACAGTCCTTCAAGAACTTTTTTATTGAGCACTTACTACATGCCTGACATTGTTTTAGGCCCTTGGGATTCAGCACTGAACATGACAAGACCTCTAATTTCAGGAATCTTATGACTCTACATTCTGGCAGGGGGAGAGGGCAATAAACCACAGCTTACATCATCTCAGGTAGAGATCAGTGCAAGGAAGCAAAGTCAAGCAGGGCGGGCTGTGAGAGCACCAGGGCGGGCAGGGTTATTCTGGATACTGTGGTTGGGGAAGGCATAGTTGTCACGAGCGCGGGTCCTGGGGCTAGTCTGTGGACTCCTACACCGTTTCTGTCATGAGTGTTATGACCGTGGGCAAGTTCTCTAACTGCTCAGGGGCTCAGTGTCCTCATCTGCAGAATGGGAAAGTAACAGTGCCTGCCTAGGATTAGTGTGAGCATGAAATAAGTGAACAGATGTCCAGCGTTTGGGGTAACACCTGCCACATCGTTAAGTGCTCACTAAATATGACTACTCTTTCCTTAGGTGGTGAGCTGTGGCAGAGGCCTAGATGCGGGGGTCAGCCATGCAAGGGTGGGGTGAAATGACACAGCTACCATTAGATGAGCACCTCAGGGTACTTATGCAGACTAGGTACATTTTCACCTGTAATCTTCACGGAGATCCTGAAATAGACATTATCATCCCCATTCCATAGATAAAAACCTGCAGGGTAGAAACATGAAGTGGCTTGTTTCAGGTTATCCAACTAGTTGATAAGTGTCCCTGAACTCTGTCAAAGGCCTCACTTCTTCTATTGGGTTTCTAACGCCTCTGCTATGTACTGGCATAGAACTGAAAGTCTCCTTTTACTTTGTCCCTTTGTTCATTCATCTCCTCGACCCCTCATCGAGGGGATGAATGTTCGTTCATCCATTTAACTCATTTCTTCATTCAAAAAATATTTACTGACGGCCTACTAAGATCACAGTCAACTGATAATATTCTCTTTGTCTTCAAAGAGCAGAGCATTTCGGCAGGGAGACCGTCAGGCAGGAGCAATGCTCAGTGAACTGCAGAGCGGCGGAGTGCGGGGGGGCTCACGGGGCAGGGGCCGGGGGTGGGGCAGCCCGTGGGCGCAGAGGCCGCAGAGGCCTCGTTCCGGAGCGGCTCCAGAAGGAACCCTGGGAGTTCGATGTAAAAGGTGGCTGGGAGCAAACTCATAAACCGCTTTCCGTGCAGAGAGTGGGGAAGCACTCGGGCTTCTGCGGAGGAGGATTTAAGGAGGAAGGAGCAGCAGAGTCTGGGACAGAGTCTGGGCAGAGTGTGGACCGGACGAGAAAAGGGAAATGGGCCGGGGCGGGGATGTCACCGGGTCCGAGGACTGGAAAAGGCCTCCCCGAGCGGCTAGGGCACTCATGCGCAGGTGCAAATGCCCCTGTGGGCGCTGGGACGGCAGGAGAGTCTCGTACTACCTTCGCTATGAACGAGTGGAGGAGACAGGGGCAGCGCGAAGAGCGAAGAATGGAAGAACCAAGAGCAAAAAGACCCCAATGCTGCCGACACTAGAGGGCCACGGGGCACCGTGGGGCATGAGCACACATCACAGTACAAGGGATTTTAACAGGAAAGATGGACGGACTCTGCATAATTCCGCTCTGTGGGGCTTCTCCTCCTTCGTTTTGCAAACTCGGGAAAAATGAGAGGCACATTATGTAACCCTTACCTTGTAATTCATGAACAAAGAGCCCGAACGGGTGCTATTCAAAATTCCTAATTAGAAACCCTTAATGACGAAAAGGCAAGGCACTAGATGCATTTTATGCCCTATTTCCTGGCCATTCCTACGTACTGCCCGTCCCCCCACTTAGCGGCTCCCCAGAACAAAGCCCCGGTCACCGGGAGGGGTGCCCCGGGCTCGGCCCTGACAAGAAAGGCTCAATATCACCAGTGACTGTCTTTGAATCTTTAGAGGATATCCTCTCACTCAAGCAAGCAGACACTGAACACATTATTTTAAGAAAGTAAGATCTGAGAAGTATGACCAATCTCTCTCCCTTCTGGGTGCTTGCTTCTCCAGCACACGGAGAAACGGCCACCACTCGTGCTGCTCACACGAGCTTGTGCAAGGCGAGGTGCCTGGGTCCTTACCTTCCTCAGCAACGACCGTTAGTGTGACGGTGACGCCAGCGTCTTTGATCAGCTGAACAATGTTATCATGGGACAGTTCAACAATGGACTGCCCATTCACCGCAGAGATGTGATCTCCGATTTTCAGTTTTCCACAGCGATCTGCTGGGCTTCCCTCTATGACTCGGCCAATTTTATGAGGAATAACTAGGGGGAAGAAAACGCCCAGGTTTTTCCATTAGTTAAGATACGTTAGCGTTGGATTTATCATCATTTAAAAACTCAACATCATGCGGCGCCTGGGTGGCTCCGTCGTTAAGCGTCTGCCTTCGGCTCAGGTCATGATCCCAGAGTCCTGGGATTGAGCCCCGCATCGGGCTCCTTGCTCGGCAGGAAGCCTGCTTCTCCCTCTCCCGCTCCCCCTGCTTGTGTTCCTGCTGTCACTGTCTCTCTCTGTCAAATAAATAAATAAAATCTTAAAAAAAAATTAAAAAAAAATAAAAATTCAACATAACATCAAAACACATTCTTTAAAGGTAGAGCAAAAAAGTATCGCATGCGAACATCTTATCCAATTGTAACTATCCCCATACTGTCGTCCGCTCTGGGCCCACATGCATACACACTCCTTACATAGCTGCAGTCATAGCACATAAACCTCTGTGCTGTTTTCCACTCATCATAAACCTTTCTCCAATTTTTATACTGCCTTCCTAACAATCCTGTTTGAAGGCTACTGACCTCCCTGATATTTATGATATTCCCTCACGAAACTGATGCTTCTCGCTTATTGTTGGCCATTGAGGCTGCATCCTATTTTGACTATTTCGGAAACTGCCACAATGAGACCATCTTTGGTTCTGCTGAAGGGGCATTTACTCCCACAGGCGGTCTTGTAAATAAATGCAGTTCAAAGTCAAGGTTAGGACTCAGAAGTTACTGCTCAGAAATCCAGTCATGGTGAAATGACTGACTGTTAAATCCTACTTAGTTCTGTAGCAAAATTCCTTTTGTTTGTGCCTTTAGATTTTTTAAAATTGGGAAAGGTGAGGGGAATCAGAACATGAAATGTTTAACGTTGAGATTATTTGGCTCAGGGATAAAATCCTGCCCTGAATGCACAAAGCAGAGTCTAAGACATTTGCAAAGACACACCGTACAGTTCTACTGGTTCATGATGCTGAAGGCTTTCCTAGACTATGAAGACACTTTGCTATTATGGCTTAAAACGAGTTCTCAGACACTCAGGAAATCTTGTCAAAATATCTTTCACCCCTTTGAATAAGGGGCATTTGTATTAAGAAATGTTCCTCCCATGTTCCTTAAGAATTTCCTTACCTGGATCAGTAATCTTGTCGGGCATTTGCCTTCTGCTGACTATTGATTGTTACGAATAGGGATAATTAATATTTAAAATGGCACTCTATGTTTAATTTTCATAGTAAAATGGGTTCCTTACTAGTATTTCTGAGTCATAGTAGGTATATGTCAGGGATGTTTTAATAGGCCTTCATTTGAACTGGAAGTTATTCCTGGCTGTGATTTATAGCCCCACAGACAGGGCCATTCCCTGGCTCTTCTAAGATTCTACAGTGAGAGATTTTATCCTAAAATAGAGGAAGTCAATGTTGGAAGCAAGTGCCTTTTAGCTCTGAATTATATCAAGCACTTATTATACCATTTTCCTTAAAGTAATTAGAAAAGCACCCGAGCAGTACAGGCCATGCCCTGTGCCAGGCGGTATGAGCAATTTGCAGAGAGGACAGCAGGTCAGAAGCGTATGCTGAGGGGAGCCTGGGTGGCTCAGTCGGTTAAGTGTCTGCCTTTGGCTCAAGTCATGATCCCGACGCTCTGGGATCGAGCCCCGCATCAGGCTCCCTGCTTGGCGGGGGTGTGGGGGGGAGCCTACCTCTCCCTCTCCTTGCTCTTCACCCTGCTTGTGCTCTCTCTCTCTCTCACTCGCTCGCTCTGTCAAATAAATAAATAAAATCTTAAAAAAAAAAAAAAAAAAGGAACATATGCTGAACCAGACAGTGGCCCTGTGGTGACCTTCTACCTCAATACCTTAGTTATTCTCCTTCTTAGAAAAGATCTGCTGGTACATGCTGTTCATTCTAGTTCCCCTGAGAAGAAAATCATTCAGCCCCTTGGCACACTGAAAAGGGTTTGTTCAGACTTGGGAAAGCATCAAACAAAATGAATCTCTGACGTCTCGGTGGTTCCTTTCTCGTCATGTGAGCAATGTGCTCAAGAGGAATCAGCAAATCTTGGGACATAACTTCCCGAAGGGTTAGTTGTCTGGGTGAAGGAAGGTAAAAGTAGTCAGATTATCATTGTCTCGGCATTGACAGCTGTATTATCAAAACAGTTAAAAACAGCAAAGAGACCAGTAGAAGGATAACTTTTGAATGGACTGGCAAGTTTTCAAGGTAACCCTGTAGAGTACACATAGCTAGGGAAAAGTCTGAAGTCCTGCCTTGCTTTTGTTGGTTTACAAAGTCCACAGGCATTTGCCATAAAACCAATTTATCCGTCTTCATTCATCTTTGGCCTAAATCTTCTCCCAGCCTGGCTTGTCCAGCTGTTGAGGTCACTTCAGTGCTCTTAAAACATTTCTTTCGGGAAAAGAAAGGACAGTAACTGGAAATGTCCCCTCTCAAAGAATCCTTTGCAACCAGAACTGAAAAGTATACGCTAAAGAAAAGAAACATTAAAACCTCTGAAGCACTAGCAAAGCAAAAACTAGCCAAGCCCTTTTCATCCTAAATAGAGGTCTTTTCTAGGTACTCTGTTCACTGAGCACTTGCACAAGCTGGGGCTAGGGCAGTAAGGGTGCTGGACCAGATCCCTGATCTTTGAAAAAGTCAACCACAGAGAATCTCAGAATTTCCTTCCTTCTTTCTTTCTTTTAAAAAGATTTTATTTATTTATTTGTCAGAGAGAGAGAGAGAGAGAGCACAAGGAGGGTGAGGGGGGAGAGGAAGAAGCCGATTCCCCACTGAGCAGGGAACCCGATGTGGGGCTCGATCCCAGGACCCTGGGATCATGACCTGAGCTGAAGGCAGACGCTTAACAGACTGAGCCGCCCAGGTGCCCCGAGAATCTCAGAATTTCATGACTGGTGTCAGAGATGCTGCCGGGAACTCTGCTTGGGACAGATGTCACCAGAAAATACATTTAATCAGAAGAAAGAAAGAATCTATCCTGAACAGAGTACCAATCTACACCAAGACAAGGTCTATAAAGAATGATCTATTCTGAGAGCTTTCCTGCCTTTTCACCAGTGCTAACTCTTGTCTAAAGTGCACCTTCTGTGTAATGCAGTGTGCAGAACTGCTCAGTCTTCGGGAGTGAAAGCTCCTCATCCAAGCCCCCCAGGGCCCTCCTTTTATCTAGACGAGATGCATGGGATCCCAAGAAGAAGGCTTGCAGGGCTCAGCATTCCATGAGATTATCAACTAGCATTTCAGTGGAATGACCAATTCTGGGTTTGTACCAATGACTGAAAAGCTCAAGTACTTGATATAAAATTCATGGGCACCCGAAGCCTAATTTACCATTCAGGGTGATAATTAATGAGCTGCAAACACTCAATTCCTGCTACACATGAACTGCTGCCTCGATCTTACATTTTACTTGGGCTTTCTTTCCCATCTCGTTACTCAAGTATTGATAAACTTTTTAAAGTTTCTTAAAGAAAAAAAAAAGCAAGAGACAGTGCCAAACAGTTTTATAAATAACACGATGGTGATAGCAAAAGCTCCAACAGGCACCAGCAGCTAACATTTATTGAAGGTCCAGGCTAAGGGCTCACATGCATGATCTCCTTTAATCCTCAGACTCGTATGAGACAGGAGGTGTTATCATCATCCTCATCTTACAGAGGAAATTGGAGCTCTTGGAGGGTAAGTAATTTGCCCAAGATCAGACAGCTATTAAAAGACGTAAGCAGGGCTTGAATCTGAGTTTGTCTGATTATAGAGCCCAACAGCTAATGATACTATCTTACACAGAGATCCAGCATCTATGGTACACAAAACCATCAAAATAGTAAGAAACAATTAAAGTGAATAAATATAAAAATATTTGAAAAATTTAAATATAGACAAACACAAAAAGAATATACTTAATACATATTAAGATGCAACATACATTTCAAATATAAATGAATAATATAAAAAGGTTAAACCTATATAAGTAATGCAACTTATTTTACTGAATTCCTCTATACTGCTTTGTTTTATGGTAGGCCCTAGACTCTCCCCTAATTTCAGCAGTCCTAGAAAAGGAGTCTCTTCAGTATAAAAAGCGGTTAGCATCTCTCACACTGAGTAATAATCTTGCACTGTTTTTGTTAATCTGAATGCATGGGATTATTGGATGGCATGAGAATAAAGATACGGTTATCTAAAATGGTTACTTGGTTTGGGAAATACTGATTTCCAAAGCTTTAATACAAAATCCACCAAAAATCTGCTTTCTTTCATTTTTCCGACACAGGCCACATAATCATCCTCAGAGCATCAGTGACAGTTCCAGTTCCAAGTGTTACCATAGCAACTGCTTTTGGAAAATGGAAACTAGTATCCGTGAGCAGTGACCTGATACTATAGTAATAACTCATCCATGTCACAGAATCTTCTTCCTTCACACACTTGCATTAATTTTAGCAAGATTTTTGCAAATTGGTTTGGCTTCCGACACTCCTGCAAGGATTTTCTTCTTTTTCTAAGATTTTAGTGACCCTCTAGTCTAAGAGGATCTCACTACTCGGGATATAATCAAATCCACCAGCAAAGGCAAGCGCACATTTTCCTGTGGTCAAAGATGTTTACCATTTGACTTGGAAAAATAAAGTCGCCAGACAAGTATGATAGATCAATCTCAATTTTCTGGTTCTCATCTTATATTCATTTGGATCTTACAATTATATTTAAAGATGATTATTTCTTAGAAATATAAAGGCAAGACAAATATTTAATTTGCTGGACTGTAACAGCCCTGAACAGACTAGAGATAAGTCCTCCTTTGTTGAAGGAATTAATATATATACTCATCCTTCCCAGGTGACAGTATTCTGTTAAACTGGATTCAGGGTATTTAGATTAATGCTTAAAATTCTGACAAAATTTTTACCTTTCAATGACGCATCTATAAAAGATAAAAATACCTCTTGTCATTCAAGAAGGTTCCTTTATAGCTGGAATGTGGCAATTATGATTAAACAACACAAAAGGACTATTTAAGGCATATTTGGGTCAAGATTTTTCTATTAATCTGTTTTGGTTCTTCTCAACTACTTCTAACATTTAATTCATTTCTGCATACACAGTTTCTCTTAATTAAAAAAAACCCAAAAACGTATGCCTCCTTATTTGAAAAAACTCAGCATTGTCCTTTTGCTGAATCTCATAGGGCACACCCACCATATCGGGCCACGGTATAATCTGGGTGCGCAAATGGAGCCACTAAGACTGATGTTATGGAATCTGAGATGATAGCTAAACCTGAGGCTTGGAAGTTCAGATTCAGACTACCTGGTTTTGAAAATAAAGAAAATATTCATCATTCTTAAAAAGATAAGTCTCTAAGGCAATTTATACATAATTCCCTAATTAGTTTCACGAAGCCCATTGGGAGACTCAGAAAACTGAAATGGCAGGGACAGTAGGATTCAGTAGCCCTTACCTCCTGGAGGTGGTTTGTTTTTGGAGGTGAGGATGACAAAGCCAAATCCTTCATTTTCCTTTCGGTGCAAGACTACATCATAGGCCTCCTGCGGAGCAGGCCTGGCTGGGACCTCTGCTCGGTTCAGGTGGGGCGAGCCATTCTGTGTTGAAAGGAAGGCTTGAGAGCTGTCATCCTCAGGTTGTTTCTCTATAATAAACATGACCAATTCTGATATTTCTGGAACATCATAATTTTTGTTAACTAAAGTGTTTCTGCGCTAAGCCTCTCACAGGAAAATGTAGATTCGAATAACCTATAGCCTAGAGAAGCAATCCCCCCATGTGAGCTCTGGACATCATCGGGTGCAGCTGTAGGCTGCATCAGTGTGTCTGACATCTTCAATACTCTGCCAGTGTATAACCGGAAGAATGATGTCCTCTCATTCTAAAGGAAGCTTTTCGAAGCTTCCAAGAAAGTTCATGGTAAACCAATTCTTGAAATTGTCTTAATTCCAGCAGGATTCTGACCAGTAATTTTAATAAAAGTTGGTCATGAAAACTGACCCGGTACACTTCCTTTTAAAATCAACATTAAATATAACTTAGTGCAGGACAAATGTTATATATTATATATAGCATATATATACAATATATATATATAATAAAACTGAATAATGTGATGCTGGGGTCACTGCACCAGGGCAGAGGTGCTGCCCCTCACTGGTTGAGAAGTTAGCTGTCAACACAGGATTTGTCTGACAAAATGTGTTTTACAGCTGCAATCTTCTTGATTGATGATACCAGATGCGCTAACCATCAGCAGTCCTCCACCTACCCCATCCAGCATATGACAAGCTGTCCACATGAACAGCCAATTCTCCTAGGCATAGAATAGGTCATAGGAATCCCCAGCAAATGGAGAATTAACTTATACCTTATTTTCTTAGTCAAGTATGACATCAGAATTCAAGAAAGAATAACACAAGTTAGTCCTAACTGATTAAAAAAAAAACCGGCAAATTTTGTGCCATAATTTGATCCGAGCCATCATTAACAAAATATACTGCCCTTGAGGAATACCCACTTCTAAGTGCTCTTTTGGCTCAAAATCTACATGATTCTGAGATTATGTTTTTGAATTTCAACAAAATGCTGCCCAACATCCAATCATTAATGAAAAATAAAGGTTTTGTTTTGTTTTTGTATAATGCATGGTTATAATGAATTAGCTAAATGCCTCCAATAATATCAAACTACTACAAAACTTCTTCATGATGCTTTCCAGGAGAGAGCCAGCCTCTGGTTGTACAACAGCACAGTTTTTACTGCATGTGGTTATGTTCTGACTCCAACACAACACTGCATTAAATCTGTATGAGTCTCTAAATGCCTGATACTTAGGGAAAAAGGCAGGCCTTTCCTTTGGATGTTGCAATCAAAAACACAGTGCCTCATTTTTAAGAGTAATGCAAGTATTCATCAAGTCAACAAACATTCGTTGATGTCCATTCTGTGCTGGGCAGGCACTGCTTTATGTCTGGGGGATACAGCAGTTAACTAAATGCATAAATATCCCTACCTCGATGAGGCTTACACTCTTGTGCTACAGGGTTGTCTTTTTAAAATCTGAAAGTGGCAAGAATTCACTTCTAAAAATTCCAATGTAATAGTCACAAAGCTATTGATGAGAAAAATGTATTCATAGCCTCATGTAATGGTTTAGATCCTGGGCTCTACAATTAAACTCCCCGTTTTAATCCCTGGCCCTACTACTCAGCAGTTATGTGTCTCTCAACCATTCTGTGGGTAACTGTCAAACTGAATGACAGTATTTACAGCCTAGTGTTGTAAAGACTAAATAAAAGAATCGGTATGTCTGAGACAGAGTAAAGCACTCAATAAATGTTTTTATTTTTTAATGTTAAATGACATTATATTAAAAATTCTCAAATAGAAACATTCTGCCCTCTTTGAATACTTAGCAATTCATCAGGATCCAAAATTTTTTTATATTCAGCTCAAGGGATCTCTTGGTATGACTAAAAAACTGTATTTGTTTTTAAGAAAACAGACTTTAACTTAATAATCTCGTCTACAATACCACCTTGGCAAAATCTGTCAATACGTGAATATAGTCTTAATACAGAGGCCCAAGTTTTGTCTCTTTAATAGTAGTATTATTTCTGGATCCTTTTGACCTTAAATGGCCTTCCATGATGAGGCTCTGGATCACACCAAATGGCTTATCTGATACCCTAGGAAACATACTAAAATACCTGCAAAACCATATAGAAAATGGACTAAGTCTCTTTGTTTCTTGATTAACCTATAAAGCGGGAACAGGCTCACATACCACCATAGAAGATCTTTCTTCTGACAGTTAATAGCACGTGGCCATTTCGAGCCGCCGTTGTCATGAGATCCAAGACTTGTTTGTGAGACTTCCCTTTCACAGGAATCCCATCAATGCACATCAGCTCGTCAGCTGCACGGAGCCGACCATCTTTCTCTGCTGCGCCCAGAGGAATGATGGCCCCGATGTAGATCTGATATGAAAACAAAGTGTAGATTGGTCTCTACAGTCAACAAAGATCTACTACGACCCTTAACTAAGTTAAAGACTTCCTGACCCAGTACTACACAAACTAACATATTTTGCAGTTCAACTATGAACATTTGAGAAAGGTAGTATCTTAGAAAGTGACCATTCTCTAAAAAGGCGCTTCACATCACCACACTACATGATCCCTTCTGGATCTTCAGGGATGCGTAGACACAAGGTGGAAAATGCAAAGCTGTTCAATAACTTAAAAACTGCCACTATCACTTCTAGCAATACAACAAAAGACATTAAATTCAGAAAATGCAGTTCTGTGGAGTAGCTACTAAAAAGTACAAAAAGTGTACTGAATGCATCAGCAAAGGTTTTCTACACACCGTTCACAGCAATTGGGATAATTCTCAAGAAAACTCCCATTACATACAGTTACTAGTGGAAATTCAGTATATACAACCCAGAAACATTTCTTGTTCCTAAATCTCAAAGCAGCAGATATATCTCGGGGGAACAGAGTGTCTGAGGTCCACTTACATCGAGGTAAACAGATTTGGCTCATTTTGTTTGCCAGCAATTAGAATCCTGTAATTAGGGAATCCTGAATGTTTGGGCTAGTTTCAGAGCTGCTAAAACCTGACATTGCAGAGAAGGATTTCTCCCAAGTTGTTTGAGAGAAACTCTGAAAATGTCTTAGTCACCACTATATGTACCAACAAAATAGGAAGCATTAAAACAAAATCATGTCTTCCACCAAGAACAATCAAGGTATTGTATATTTGCCCTGTATAAGTTGACCTGCCTTGAGCTTTATGTCTCTTATAATTGTTTTAACTATAGCCAATATGGCTAATTAGAACATATTTATAATACATAAATCAACTGTTCTATCCAGAAATAGAAAGAAGCCTGTCATTTTATTTTAAAAGGTTATTGTTACTCACCTATCTTCCAAGCATGATAATGTCTTTCTTATATCACACAGAAAAAACTTAAATATGTTCTCCAACTCTACAAAGTACATTACTTCTCTGTCATTCAAACTAAGGGCAAAACTTAAAAATAGAAGCCATTACATTTGTTCTCCAAACTTTATGTGAGAATTGTGTACGAAGTTCTATATTTTAAATGCTTTACAAACATAATCCTTATGCTTTCTGAACAGAAACATCAATTATTTTATATTTTCCTAGTTTCATAGGTATAGCAGATGAAATGGCACGCAAAGCACTGAGCATGAAAATGTCAACCCATTAATAAGAGTAAGTGACATAATATGCAAAGGCTCATGCCACCTGTTTATGGAGCATTCAAAGGACAGACTGATGGTGCTAAACAGGATGCTTCTTTCTTAGAGAAGGCAAAGGTCTTAAAATTTAACAAAGGCAAAGGGAAATAAAAATTGAAAATAAGCTGTAGGCACATAGAGAAAGACAGAAATTAATTACTGCCCAATTTACAGTGCACATATTCAGTTCTTGCCTTCAGTTCTAGCCTCAGCCACACCAAGGTAACTGGGAGACCAACACACTAACAGAAATGCAGTTCTTCCTCTCATTCATGAGATGCTTAGAGAAAACAAAATCTTAAAAAAAAAAAAAAAAGAACAAAATCACCATATTCTACCAAATAGCCACCTAAAAGTTCATAGGAATGGCCAAATTCTGAAGTATGTGAACTTACAGACTGGTCCGGTCCCTCTCCTCCCAGTACCCGGAAGCCAAACCCCGACTCCTGTTTCCGAAGAAAAACATCCAAGTCCTTGGTGTTTGGTGCTAAGGAAAACCAGAAAAATATACAAATAAATAAGTAAAACAAAATACTTTGATTTATTTAAAAAGGATTACAATAAAACAATGCAATTATTTAGTAGGATAATATTATAGAGTTCAATAAATTATAATCTCAGAACTTTCTGGTAGGTGAAAACTTACACAAGAACATACCACTACATTCAATCTTAAATCTTTGTTTTCAGCTCTAAACAAAACTTTGTATCGACATTGCTCAGAAACATTTACGCCCGCTTCCATTATGCTGCCATTAAGTCCTAATGCTTTCAAATCAATGTTGTGATATTAAATACAGAATCATCCAATTTAAGTTTGGCATTTGATAGGTACAAATTATCTCAATTAACAGTTGGACAAATCCTAGGAAAAGAGAGCCCATAAAATGCCTTAATTCTACTCCTAAACTAATACCTTTGTTTTTGAAAAGCATTCCATATTTGCTTAGCCTAATTTTGCAAACGGGTATTATTTTAAAAGAAAATGATCGCTAACACCTATCATCAGCCCCATTTTCTAGCTGTGGAAACTGAGGCCTAGGTAAGTGGCCCAGTGTCAGGCAGCAAGTAAACGGCAGAGCTGAGATTTCGAGCCAACTTGATTTCTAGGGTCCAGGCTCTTCACCCACCCTATTCTGTCCCCCAAGGGCAGGTCGCATTCATCAGAATATTAAGTCCAGAAAACCTACTTCACAACTAAAATAATTTGATCTTCAAGAAAATATTGATGTTATTCACAAGCAAGAAGTCTTTGCTGGAAAGATGGTGGGGAACTACATAAAACCTGAGATACCGTACAGGGTAAATCTTGATAATGTTCCTCAGAAGCAGTCTCTTTTGAGAAATGATTCCTATTAGAATTATAGAACTTTAGGGATAGAAGACTCTGGAGCTCAACTCAGTTACTTTATGGGTGCAGCCTAAAGGGGCTGAGTAGTTTCTACCAATACTAAGAATACATCAGGCTATCAATGGCAAGTCAGAAGAAAGCGATTCCCTATAGTTCTATTAATTTAAATTATTGCTTTGCTGTGTTTGCATCTGGTTTTCATCTTTCTGAATATGGCCTGGGCCTATCAAGATAAAGATCTGAAACTGGTTAAATAACTATGAAGTCGATTATACATAATATTTCCACCTGTGTACACAGTTTCCAAGGTAGATTTAGATCTATTTCTCAGAAACAAATTAATTTAAAAAAATTAAGCCTATGTAAGCTGCAATTTTGCTTTGGAAAAGATTTATCATTTTAAGTAAATTAGCACAAAACTGAATCTCTGGTCTTCTGCATGCTCTCTGCTCATCATCTCTCAGCTGGGCTCCTCTGAGCGGTCTACTCTGGTTTCCTCCTCAGGCTGCACACCCTCTGATTCACCATCCCTCTTACTCCCGCCAGGAGAATCTCTCTGAAATGCAAGTCCAAGATGATCATCCCTGCAAACCATTCCGAGGCTCTCCATCCTTTCTATGATGGACTCCCACTTCCTCAGAATGGCCTCGCCTGCCCTCTCCAGCCTTCTTGCCCCTGCTTTCCCCTCTGGTTTCCCGTGCCAAATGCACCCAGCCCAACTGGGCTACTTGCAGAACTAGGGCCGTGCAAGGTCAATGTGCAAAGGTTACTCCTGCTTTCCTTCCCTTTTTCTCTGTGTCATAAATACCTCTTCGTCTTTGAAGATGTGGTTCTGGCTTAACTTCCTACGTGAAACAGGATCTGACACTTCCTACCACCCCCAGTGGTAAAATTGACCGTCTCCTCCTTTGGATCCCTGTGAGGCTTATTTGGACTTATTTATACATACTTCTTTGATTACATATTCGTCTTTTCCATTTAGGGTTAATCATCTTTTTGGGCGCAGGGCCTACGGAACTTATTTATCTCTATATTCCTAACACCTACTTTGGTGTTAGGAAGATAGCAGGCACTTAATCCCTGGTTTTGAAAAAAAAATGGATGAATGAATGTTGAATAGAAATGGAAGAAGCCCAGAGTCATGAAAATGGGGATGAAGGATAACTTTTCAATATGGTTTTGAAAGATGGAAAGGTCCCAGTTTTTAGAAAATTCAAATTGATTTTGTCACATGCTGTCCTGAAATATTCCACAGCTACTTACGTTTATCTTCATATAAAGTCTTCGATTTCAGGTAGACCTCAGAAGGATCCAATTTCGGGGATCCCGACCTGATAATGCTGGGTGGAAAAGGCATAGGCTGGGGAATGGGCTCATTTATGGCCTCCAAACTTCCTGAATGTTCCTTTCTGTCTGTTTTCTGAAATGGAAAAGGGCCTTACTTAGTATTTTAGAAAACCAGATGGTCGATTAGTTCATAAAACTATTGTGTGAACCAGATGTGTCAACTGATGACAGGTGGGGAGGGGGTATGGCAGGGTCAAAGCCACTGCAAAGTCTTGTAGGGATTTACCTTCATAGCCGTGTACCCTTGGTTAAAACATATTTAACTTAAATGAGAAAAGATTTATACTGCTGTCAACTGAAGGGCCTGAATTAGTCCTAAGTTTACATGATCTTGCCCTTTCCTCCACCCCCAAGACACAAACGGACTTTGAGAAGAAGATGAGCAAGGACATAACCCAGGGCGGCAGTGTGTGGCAAGAGGGGGGCCCCAAGTGAACAGCCTCGTGAAGCTCTTGATCCGCCCCACCTCCCCACTCACTCAATTTAATTCCCAGTGCAGATGTTTGAGATGCCATTCTTGCTCAGAAAATGGAGTAGGAAGTGTTACCTCTAATGTGGGCTACAAAGAGGACACTATGAAAACCCCGCATGGCCAATATCAAATACATGAAGGAAAAATGCACAGTTGTATGGGACAATCTGGTAAGGGCAACCAGGGGCATTATGTTCGTATTTTTCCCATTCTTTCCCAAAATAATAGCCAGGCAAAATGATTTAATAAAATCTGAAAAGAAAAAAAGAAAAGGATCCAATAAACAGCCTGAGAAAATAAATACGGTTTTGAGAAGAGCCTGTTCTTCTGCATTCTTGCTGGGGGAGGCAGATTAGGGATGTCTGTTATAAAACAACAAATGTGGACTAGGACGCAGGAGGCAGTGGGGTGAGGACAGTCACTGCAATGTGCTGTCCCGGAGCCACCGACCCAGACCCCGTCGGGTGGCAGGAAGACGAGAGCAGCTTCCTCCCCTCTCCCTGACATGTCCTAGGGTTCTGGCAGAGCAGCACGAGGTCACTGGTAATAAAACATTAGGGTCACCACGGCTGCACAGGCGTCCATTATGAAATAGAACGGTAGCACGGGAGTTAAAAACCATGACCAAAGGAACCAGAGAAACGTAGAAAAACACAGTGCAATTTTAACTACGTGGGCAAAAAAGTATTTCTGTTCACATTGGTTGTAAGTGGTACAGTCTATACAAGTGCAGAATGTTTCTTTCCTGTTGAGCCATAAGACAGCAAATTTGTAGACGATCCTACTGGGTGGTTTAGAAAGAATTCACCCATTTTATATCAGTTGGTCTTTCCTTTAATAGCCTATGGTGGATGGTTATGGAAGCCCATCTTTCCATTGCGAGATGACAGACTCCCAATCAAGCAAACTAGAACTAAATTAAGATTGTATATATAATTGTCTTTATAGCCAGACCCACGTAATTGTGGATATTTTGGCAGCTACACGTCTGCCCCTAGCCCACTTTCTTTCCTGGCACTGTTTGCTGTACCCTTTTTTAGATCTTATTTGCTATACAAGTCCTTAAATAGGCTACTCAGTTATTCAGAAGAATGCCAAAGAAAACAGTTACAAGTCTGACAGCCTATCACTTTGATAACAAGCAAATTGAGCACAGAGGCCACAGTTATTCTAGAAAGTCTTGTGTAGTCCATTGTGAGAAGGTTATCTCAATGTGGGTATTTAATGTCCCCAGGAAATGATGTGAAGCTACCGCTCCTTCTCTTTGGGCGTCAGGGAGATGTCACAGGATCTATTCTCTGCCCTAACATGTAGCTACTTCCTTACCTTTGCTCCTCTGAAACACAAAGAAAGCAGAAGGACTTCTAAGTGGGCACTTTGGTGTCTTCACGCTTTACCATTTAGAGGACAGGGTTGCTGGCAGCATGGGCCGCTAGCATTCGGTTGAAATACTTAACCAGGAAAGCACGCCTCCTCTCTACCTCACACGCTTTCCCAGAGTTTCTGACACAGGCCCAGGGCAGGATGCCTTCTCACTTCTCCCAGTGGATAATCACCACCACAGAGCGCTGCTCTTACGGAGGGGGACACCGTATCTCTCTCGCTGTGTTGGGAAGAAGCATGTGAGGACCACTGTATACTCACCATTTTGGCAGTTTTAGTTGGTGAAGGAGGACCTTAAAAAAAATGAGCCAAATTTTAAAAACAGAGGAAGCATTTCCAGATCACAAATACTGCTCATGTTTATGATAAAACTAGCTTCGACTTTTAGTAGACTAGTAAATTCTATGGCCAACACCCGCTGTGTGCCAGGCATTGGTACATATATTATCTCACCTCATTTTTGTGACAATTCTAAGGCATAAGCATTACTACCACTTTATAGATCACGTCAACGAAGACTCAAACAGATTACATCACTTCCTCATACCATAGAACAGGTAGCAAGGCAGGAAACTGACATTAGGCCTGTCTGACACCAAACCCTGGTCTCTTTGTTAAAGGTGTTGGAATCCTGGATAACTCTCCAGCACTCACAAAGAGATCCTCCCCTTACTCTGAGCACATTCTACCATATCATCCAGAGAAGAAACAAAAATAGTTCAAAGAAGTGAGAAAAGTGAAAAATGTCCCAATGAAGTTAAATTGCTCATTTGCCTCAAAAATGAAAACTAAAAGCCAGAGAGAGAAGGGTGAAGGGCTAAATTTTATTCTTTAAAATACTAGGGGTCATTCATAGGTAGGGATTTAAGAAAGCCCATCAAAATGCAACTTTATGATTAGTCCTTGGACCTGGATTTATGTCTGCGAGCAGCTCAAGTCAGCTGATGACCCTGGAAAATAAAAATTATATTTCTCTCACAAGAGGACCGTGGGGTTTAATTAACATTTATGGACAGAGACTAAAGCTTAAGAGAAAAGCTTCGTGAGCACGAACTACCATGATTGCTTTACAGAGCGATTACACGCCATCCAACATTTTGCTAATTCACAGAGATGCTAGCTCTTTCGAAACATCCTCAGCACATTACAGAGGCCCAGATGAAGAACCACCACTGGAAAGCGTCAATTTCTATTACTGCCATCAACAGAGAAAATGAAATTAAGAGGATATATTTCATCTGAAGTAGCACAATACTGTGACTCTCTCTAATCACTAAAGCCATAAATCAGATTAATTTTAAAAAGAATATACAGGAAAGAAAATCTGTAATGGACACGAATGAAACCACTAATAACTAAAAAAGCTGCTGCAAAAGATACTGCTTATGGAAGCAGTCAGACAGAACCTTAAGAAAAAGGCATACTAATTACCAGTTAAGTCTGCTGGGGAAAAAGATTCTGCCCTGGAAGGAAGGACGATTAACAGATACAAATGCATGAACAATGAAGATTTTTCCTTGTGCTTTTACTCACCTCCTCTTAAGATAAGCAATGGTACATCTGCACCTACTGGAAATTGCTTTAGCACGTCTACCACTTGGAGATGTGTTAAATTCTGCACATTTTGATGGTAAATTTCCTTAATTATATCCCCTTTCTGGAGGCCTTGACACCACTGACTATCCAATATCATTTTGACCTTCTGTCCTGTTGGGCTGTCAGCAATTGCAAACCCAAAGCCTTTAGGGCCCTTAATCAGAGGGATAGTCACTAGTTCGGGCTGGGAGCTGCCTGATGATGCCAGGGATGCTCGCTGCTCGCTCGGGTCCGATGGTCCATTGAGACGGTCACTGATCAAGGTGGGTCCCGGCTTTCCGTTCTGGTCCAGGACCACTGCTCCTGACTTAAAATCCTGAGTATTCATGCAAGTCTCTCCCTTGGTTAATGACTGTCCATTGATGACAGGAGTAGCAGCAACAATGTCCACAACAGGATCTTCATTGTCATCAGGAAGTGGATAACCACGGCAGAGAGTGAGGTTGACATACTGATTGATAGGTACCAATTGAAACATCTGGACAACATCTGCATGGGTGTGACCAAGGACACAGCTGCCATTGATGTCTACAATAACATCACCTGTTAAGACATAATCGTATTAAAAATATTAAAACCACCAAGTAAGTTAATGTTTTGTTGGGGCAGGGTGGGACAAAAATAAATTTATCATCTAAATTTGAATTCTGGAAACCTCTTACTATTCATTAACTGCTGAAAAGACAGATTTCGAACACAGACACGTCATTCTCCCTTCTGTGGTTCTTCTCTAAAAAGAATATAAATGTATAAAACCTTAATTATCTTTGCAGCAGAGTGATGACCTCAAGCTCAAGGGAATCATTTGAAAAAAACCTGTGGATTCATACTGTCATTGTTAGTATATCCTCTGAGTCATACCTAAGCGGCCACACAAAGCCAGGTTCATGGCAGCAGGTATTCAGTACATAGAAGAGGAGCAAATAACTCCATCAGCTACTTGTACAAACAGGCGATCTTTCAATACCACCTTCTATTTCTTGATTTTAAGAGGCCAGTAATTACAGGGTACTTAAAAATTCATTCTAGTTTGAAGAATGTAGGGCTGAAGATTAGAATAATGTGACGTTATGAATGTATGTTCCTTTGACATCTTTCTTAATCGTAGAGATTTTCAATTTATTGTAATTTCAGATTTCAAAAGGAGAAACAAGCGACAAGAGAATCCAACACAAGCAAAGAATGTATTATTTAAGACATTGAAAAGTCAGCTAAACGAATTCTTGTAGAAGTTGGTTTTGCTTTCCTGATTTTACATTATTACGACCACCTTGTGGCAGAATCATTATTATTTGATATTCATCAGTGGTGAATTTTTTTAATGCAGCCTTAACTTTAAAAACCTGCCCTCTAATGTCTCATCTGTTTGCTGCTTTTATTTGAATATTGAATATTTAAAAGGTTATTGCCAAATAAAGGTGCTTTAATTTGTTCTGATTGCATGTAGGCCTGAAAAAAATCAACATAAATGGTACTTAGAAACAAACGTTAAAGTGTTCAGGAATGTGTTTCATAATCTAAGATGACACAGAAATCAGACTAATAAGAAACAAAGTTTAGACTTTCCCTCCCCTAGTAAAAGTTAATTTCCATGGAAGTATTGTATTGCTATGCAAATTAGACATCAGTTTTAGACAAATCTGCATCTATATTATGAAACCCTGACAGCACATTCAACAGCTACCAAATGTGTTTTGTGGACAAAATGTTAGAAAAAAAAAAGTCGAAACTGAGAGCTTAAAAATTTTTACTAGTGTTAATCTTACAAAGTCATAAAGAAGAGCACAAATAATTTTCCTTATAGATATAACTTCTGATTAACTTTTCTTGTTTTAAGTCTTAAGTCTCTTGTTTTAAGCTTCATGTTTTAAGTCAAGTGGGAAAGCATAATATGAGAGATGCCATATCCTAAATGAAAATAAGTTGATATGTGCCATCAAAAATACTATGGCAACTGAATCGTCCAAATGGGGGGACACATTTGCATTAGCAAATAGTCTAAGAAGCGACCCTATTGGCATAGTAACATCCTTCTAGGAGAAAGTGCTCAAGCCTCCCCCATAACTGTAATTGTTCTTGAACTTCCTCTAACCCCCTCAGACATAAAACCTGTCAGCCATATAAAAATATCTAACAATTACCAAGACTTAGGGAAAACTATAAAAAGGACAGATTTATATGGCTCTGTAAAAATGGTAATTTCATGTCTATAATTCTTAACATAGGAGTTTAATTTTACTAACAACCAGTAAGACTAAGGAAGCAAAATCCAGACCAAATCAAACAAAACAAAACAGGGGAAAAAAACCGTGGGACATCATTTGTTCGCTATAAACATCGCAATGGGTCATTTTTCAAGAAAGATTATAGGTACATTTTAGATCGCTCCCAAAGTACCCTACATCATCGAAGAAAAACTACCAAACAGTTCTCTGAGATGGTTAATCAATCTTTATCTTAGCATACTCGAGGAGTTATCTCGAGATGATACAAATTACTCAAAACAATCAATACATTTAATATGCTTTCTCTAGTTGTACACTTATTTATAAAAAATGGCCCTCCTTAAAACTAATATGCATTGAATTTAGATGATAACTATTTTAATACAGGAATCTCCCTCCCCGGTAGTGTAATCTAGGTCTCTCTCTCTATACAAGCGATATGTATATGTATATATAGTTATTATATATGTAAATACATATTTATTATATATCAGTTTTATAAATATATATGTAAATGAAACCTTTTCACTGTAGTTTTTTTTTTTAATTAAATTAATTAATTTTTTTTTAAATTACGTTGTTAGTCATCATCACCATAGTTCTTATTACAGCATCACTGCTCTTCAAATCTTTCTGAGAAATTCATTACCTGGTGCAATTTTCCCATCCTGAGCTGCAGGACCATCTTTCAGCACATTTTTTACTTGTAAAAACTCATCAGGCCTATCTCCACCAATAATGGTAAAACCAAATCCCATTGTGCTTTTCTTCAATGATGCTCGAATAAGAATGCCTTTCAGCTGGGAGGGATCTCGAGTAAAGTGGGATTTTTCCATATCTGTACCAAAATGAGAAATGGGGTTGAGAACAAAAATAAAAACAATGAACATGGCCCTCAAAGTCAACCTTTAAGAGAGTCTATATAAACTTAAATATAACAAACCATAAAGGGAAGCACATTAGAGAGAATCTTTAATGTTACGAAACAGAATTTAAATTCATAAACTATTAAAAAAAACTTAGCCAATGACTCAGGTGTCTCTTATAGGCCTTCTCTATGTTATCTGAAAGGTAAAAGCACCTATTTCATCACCCCCTCATTGCTTTGTTTGTTTGTACTTTTTCTTTAACCCAAAGAGTCCTTCATATGAAGTCAAAATGATGCACCCGCGGGACCACCTTTATTATTAAATTCCTGAAGGTCTTGGACACCATTCAGCTGTACATTTCATTTAAATAAGCATCTACTGAGCTCTACTGAGAAAACACTATTCTGGGAGGATGAAGGCAACTCACATGCTTATGGAAAAGAATATACTGAGATATACCGAGAACTTTTTATAATTCACAACTCAGACTTTCTGCAGTCTTCAGTTTGTATCTGATGAAGGCATGAATTCCTGAACTATCAGTAAATAGCTTCACGTTTCTTTCCCTTTTACTTGTGTTCAGTGAATACTTTGGGGAGAAAGCAAACACAGCTCCACTGAAAAGTCTGTTTTTAGAGGTTTCCTCAGATGATCCTAAAACTGAAAGTGATCCATATTTGCAAATAATGAATTTTTACAACTCCTTCTCTTTCCTCTCCTCTCCTCTCCGGCTGCATTAGGGCACTTTTGAGAACCGTGAAAAGATCTAATTGTGCGATTAATAATGTACAAAGCATTGTTTAAATTAACTTTTCAAAAAATGGTCTAACATTTGCTGCCAAATATTTAGTTTTATTGAGATATAATCACATATGATAACTGAGCCACTTAAAGTGTACAAGTCAATGTTGTGCAACCATCACTTAATTTTAGGAACCCCCTGCCCCGAAATCCCCATGCCCGTTAGCCACTCCCCATTTCTCCCTCACCTGCACTCACAAACCCTAGTGTTAGGCAATCACTAAGCTATTTTTGTCTACAGCTCTGCCCAATCTGGACATTTCATATAAATGGAGTCATGGAATATGTGGTCTTTTGAATGATTTCTTTCACTGAGCGTCATGTTTTTGAGGTTCATCTGTATTTTAGCATGTGTGAGTACTTTATTCCTTTTAATGCCAAGTAATATTCCGCTGTAGGGACATATCGCATTTTACTTATCCATTTTTCAGTTGACGGACAGCTGGGTTGTTTCCACTTTTTGGCTGTTATGAGTGATGCTGCTATGACCATTCATGTACAAGGTTTTGCGTGGACATACATTTTCATTCCTCTTCTGTACATAGTAGTACTGGAAGGGCAGCAGTTACCAATAAACCTACAGTAACTATGTTTAACGTGTTGAAAAACTGCCACACTTTTCCAAAGAGACTGCACCATTTCACATTTCCACTGGCATCTATGAGGGCTCTGATTTCTCCGCGGCATGGCCCACACTGGTTACTGCGTGCTCTCTGGTTCTAGCCGCTCTAGTGGGCATGAATGGTATCTCACCATGGTTTTGGCACTCATTTCCCTAGTGACTTCAACCAACACAGGTGACGTGTTTCATACAGAGCTCACCCTCAGCACTAGTATCGAGCCCAGAGTTATCTGCGTATAGCTGCTGCTGCCCCTCATGGCAAAGGGTTCTGAGAGGCACACAATAAAGCCTGTTGCCAGTTAGAAAAGAGTCATCTTTGGGGCTGCCCCATATGGTGGCAGGGACTGAGCAGTGTCAACAGCTCCCTCAAGAGGCAGGGCTGACCTGAAGATACTGACAAAGGCAGGCTTGTGGTGGGAGTACGTCTACTTTATTTGACCTATTCTTCCCAGTTTTGCTGATCTCTTATAAATAAAAGCACTTGACACGAAATAAAGAAATAAAGAAAGGCAGGCAGGCAGGAAGGAAGGAAGGGAAAGAAAGAAAAAGAAAGAAAAAAGAAAGAAAGAAAGAAAGAAAGAAAGAAAGAAAGAAAGAAAGAAAGAAAGAAAGAAAGACAAGAAAAGAAAAAAGAAAAGAAAAGAAGAGAAAAGAAAAAGGAAAAGAAAAGAAAATCAGCTATTTCGGGCTTCTCAAAGTGGAGGACTAGACTCCAGACGGTAGTGTGTTGACCAGCGTAAACACTATTTTGGGAGGCCTCTCGAAGCTTGGCCAGCCAGCCTGCTCCTGGTGATCTCTCTGTGTACTGCTGAGCTGAGCTCTTGTTGAGCCTCTGACATTCCAACTAGCCACTAGTCTCTGAACAAATATTACTTAAAAAATATTTGCCACATTCAAAGCCCATTCAGTCGTGTAAACTGATTACGACTGCCCACTGGGGTCGCCTACCGGTTGTGGACAAGACCATCTGCTTAATGACCGTGTATGTAGGCAACTGAGAACAAAATCTGATGAAATGTACCTTTCTCGTTTTTAATTGTGACACTTCAAATATTGTGATACTTCTGGTGAGCTATCTCATGCTCTGGTCCTCGTGAATGCTGGAATAAGACTGGCTCCTGAGGGTGGAACTAGAAAATCGGCGTATGATGGATGAGATCCAGATGTGCAAACGGGGAGGGGGAGTTCTGGCTAATACCTAATTTTGCAAAGTATTAATAAAACAGCCGAAGCTAATGAGAAGTTGGTCAAAATTAGGTCTTATCAGAATTAAACAAAGGAAAGGGAGAATAAGAAAAGCACAAAGAAACTGTCTTTGATTCTAAAATACCTGATTTTAAATCCAAGCTGTGGGATTTAGTTGAGTGATCTTGGAATGTTATTAGAACTTTTAAAGTCTCAGTTTCTTCATCTATAAAATAGGGATAATAGTACCTAATTCATGGGATTGTTACAGGGATTAAACTAGGTCAAGCATTGAAGCACAGGCAACAGGGCCTGACAAACAGTAAGTGCTCAATAAATGTAGATGAGTACAAACACATACATCCTGGCTCAGAAACTTGAGTACTCCTGTCCTTGTGGCAAGCATCTCCTTGGAATGGATGCATCCAATGACTGTTAACCAGATGCCATGGAGGCATCTGAGTGGGGACCATAATATTAATAACCTTGCAGAGATATTTTGAGTCTTAGTGAGATGATGTGTACGATGCATCCAATCAAGTACCTGACCCAGTATCTCAATAAATGGTAGCCATCATTCTTCAAGAACTAGCATAACTTCTATTACTTCTAGGAAGTTTTTCTTGCCCTCTCCACAGCCAGATTTAATTTCTCTCTCCTTTGTTCCAACTCTCTCCTTTGTTATGTCTGCTATCATACTGTACACAAAGTGGGTGTCTATTTCCCTGCCTAAATTGTGAGCTCCTGAAAGATAAAGGCTGAGTCATTATTCTCCTTTTAATGCCCAGCTCACAGGAGAGGGCCTGGTTATCCAGATTAATCACACACACACACACACACACGCTCAGCTCATAGGAGAGGGCCTGGTTATCCAGATTAATCACACACACACACACACACACACACACACACACACACACACACACTCCCTGCCCTCAAGGGGCTTAGAGTTTAGTGAGGGAGAGAAGATCTCCCTTGATATGTGAAGACATGGGCATTCAGGAACTATATGTTATAATACAAAGAACTCTGAATTTAAACTCAGTAAAACTACGTGCAAATTCTGGCTTGACACTCACTATGATTTTGAGCAAAAGGCTTATCTTTACTAAAGTCTCAGCTTCCTTATGTGCAGGGGGGATTTATGTTTCTCTCCACTTAGTGTCTTCTGTCTACCCTCTTTCAATCAAAGCTATCAAAACCATTGACCGTACCCTGTCTCTACTTCGTCACCCACCATTCCCTCTTCATTCTACTGCATTTTTACTTCTTTTCCCTTTTATTTTGCAAATGACCTCCACATTGTCAACCTCAGTGTAAATTTTTCAATTTCTGCCTTCTGGACTTTTCAGCAACATGGGACACAAACACTCAACTTCTTTTTGAAACTCACTCCTTCTAGTGGCTGCCTCCCCCTACAACCTCATCTCTTATTACTACCCCACAAATACTCTATGTTCTAGCCATTCCTCTCTGTTCTCTGGGCCCTGGACCACCCTTTCATGCCCCTATGGTTTTATACATTCTGTTCCTTCTACCTGGCATGCCTTCTTGCTTCTCTAAAATTATCATCCATCTGATTTAACTTTTCCTGACACTTTAAGATCCACTTCTACTGTGTCCTCTGCTTTGAAAGCTCCCCTGTGTCCTTGACTTTCTCCACCAAAGGAGAGGTGAGCACTGCCTCCTTTATGCCACCTATTAATACGTTTCTATTAATACAACATGTACATCTCTACTAATAACAATGAAAGCTAGTATTTATCAGCCCCTATTTGCCAGATAGCATTGTAAGCACTTTCCATGTATTAATTTGCATGCTCCAAACCACCTAAAGAGGTAAATACTATTCTTATTCCTATTTCATAGATGAAGAAACAGAAGCACAGAGTTTTGGGAACTCATCCAAGGTCATGCATTTGAGATTCACACCTGCTCCACCCTCTGGACATTTAACTGGTCTCCGAGGATGGCACCTAATACCATATATGGTAACCATTAATTTCCTGCGTCAGAATGTGAACTCTTGAGGGCAAGACCTTTCTTACTCCTAATCGTTTTTGAATATCGTGTGACTGGCAGAGCACTAGGCATACAGTAGGTGCTCAAAAATATTTGTTAAACAAAAATGCCTCCTAAATCAAATGCAAAACTTAAGTGACAGGACTATGTTTTTGAAGAGGAGCTATAAGAAACAAGTGCTTCTCTTATGGACAACAGAAGTGAGGAGTCTACTTGATTAGTACAGTATGACCGTATAGACAGAACCCTGGTTATTGGAACAGACGGAAGAGGGGGAAGAGATGGGGAGTGATGAATAGAATATAAGAAATTCCTGGGCAGCTTTTTCAAAATACACATGGCTAGGCTCATCAAAATGTTAGGACCTATGTATTTTCAAAATATTCCCCAAATGATCCTGAATTTACTGATGCCCTGCCACCCCACTTGAGAATCAATGATACAGGCAAAAAATATGGTGGATTTATGCCAATCAGTTAATAAAGAACCCTGTATGGTTACAGACATTAGACCTAAGCATTACCTTGGGAGAAACTCATAATGGATTAGAGATCTCAGACTGTCCTGGCTTGAAACACTGAGAAAGAATGCAATCTTTATATTACAACCTCAAGCCCAAAACAAAGCTATTCAATACCTTTTGCCAACAATTTCACACTTTCCATCTAAGCAGCATGGGAAAATCACAGTATTCTCAAAACGTTTAGATGTTTTATTAAGATTATTCCCTATCTTTACAGTGACAAAAATCAGACATTCTCTGTTGAACCTCAACACCTCAACAATAAAAAGTTCAAACTTATTTTCATTAATTCAGTATGTAAATTTCACAAGGCATTCTTAGAAGAAAAGATTGAGGAAAATGTTCTACCTGGTTTTGAAGACCCAGTATCAGCCTGTCCTAACTGCTTTTTCCTTTTGGCTTCCTCCACTGGATTTTCAAACTGGGTTTTCTGGTTAAGGTGACTGTAAAATGTAGAAAAACAGGTATTTCGGTTTAAGATGAAAGAGTTACATTATTTTTTAATAGACTGTTATACCATTCCATCCCCGTAGGTTAAGGGGCAAACATGTACCTCTAGACTATGGAACTCAGAGAGGCTGAAAGATGGTAGGGGAAGGACTTTTGGCAACTAAAGAAAGGCCCACGGAAGATGCCTAAAAGTGAAAGCTGCTGAAGCATTCACTATAGCTTCTGCATCGAGGTACCCAACGGAGCCAATAATAGTTTTCAAAACGGTAGGAGACGCCCTCACATCTAATGCAATCAGAACAGTTGGTAATGGATCAGTTCATTTTCTAAAAGGCAGTTAATGGTAGGAGGATTTTAATTCAAGTTTCTTTAAAATGAAGTAGCTGTAAAGATGCTTTTGGAAAAATCTGAGTATAGAAGCTTTCTTGAATTTTACTATTATTTTCCCAACTGACTCACCCACATCAGTTAAGCAGAACAACTAAGAAAGAGATTTGCTTTTACCAATTTGTATTGTAGAACAACTCTTCCACAATCAACTTTTTTCATAATTATATAATAATTAAAATAATTACATAATCATAATATAAATTTAACTGGTATTTCTGATTTGGGAGCATTCACAACTGCCTTGGAAAGCACACAAGTCTTTGGCGGAAAGCAGAACAGCATGCGGAGACCAAGGCTGAGCGATGGGCTAACAAGAGTCGATACATGATGGGCAACAGGATATTTCACTGGGGGAGCAGAGCACTGGTTGGTCTCGCAAATCAGTCAAGGGGAAGTTGGCTAAGAATGCAACTACTGAACAGAAGTTATTTAAATAGGTTCTGATACAGAAGCAATGGGAATTACATTCTAGCACTTCCATGGTACAAATATATTTCAGCCAACTGAGAGCATTTTCCAGTAGAATTCATTTTAATGAGAAGTGACATTAGCAAATACCAACAATCAAACATCAAATCATGAGAATCTCAGATTATGACTGCCTTTAGATAGGCTGAATATTACAAAATTTGCATACAAATAGTCATACAACTTGGATAATTACTTTGCCATCTGTGAACATTAATCGTGGTGATGGAGGAGGGTAGCAAGGACCCGTCAGGGCAAAGAATGCTGGTTTTCTCTATGTCATTTAGGCTTCTAGTGCATTATTAACTCTGTAACAGATGTAGTTATTTAGTTTCAGAGTTCTATAAACATGGCAAGTTCCACTTGAAATTCTTTGGGTTGCGATTTCACTAAAACTCAAGTATGCTTCTGCTTCCTACCAAGGGGAGCTTTTTAACTGTTAAACCCTCTGGGAAAATGGAGATCTTTGGTATTAACTTAGGGACCATTTTAAACATCATTTATTAGGTACTGACATGTAAAATGTCAGTTTATGTCAGTACCTACCATTTTACATATTCTTGAAAGAATAAAACCACCAGAAAGTGACACTTAGAAAAGAATAAACCTGTTTAGAATAAACCCTGGCTCACTTTAACGTCATCAGTTGGAATGACTCATTTTGCCACCTAGGCATTAAAACATAAGAAGTAGTAATTTGTATTTATACTCTTCGTAATGTGTGGGAGAGGAGAGTAGCAGTCTGCAAGTGAGTAATCCCTTTCCTGAAAATTCTTTGACAAAAGAATGTAAGATTTTAGTGCAGGGAGTAATTGCATGTGTCACCTTAAACTACTTAGATTAAAATGCTACCCAAATAACAAAACAAAACATAAAAGTTAAAACATTCTCCTTTTCATTTAGTTACTTATATTCACAATATTGTTAAGATGTAAGAGATTTTGTTTTCCATATAACTAGCTATGGGAAGTAAGATAGGAGAATCTCACAGATTACTGGAAAAATTAAACAAGGGTAGCAAAGAAGCATGACTAAATATAGGATATATAACTTGGAATGTCATCTGCATTAACATTTTCTGTATAATAGGTGGATTTTAAAAATTCACCTCCACAAACAAAACCCTTATTCTTTCATGATGAATCTGAGATATTCAAGCAGATGTATATTTTGACTCTGAAACCTAAGCACATAAAGACATTTAATGCAATAAAAGAGGACAACATTTCTAAATATGTAAGCATTCTTATAGAAGGCCTGCCATTAAATTTTTGGAACAATTTTACTTTCAAAAATAAATTAATCCATTTCAGAATCTCATCCCCGAAAATAAATACTTGCAAAGAAAAAGTGCCATTGCAGTTGGTGTTACTACTACAAGCCTCTGCCAAAAGCAATCATTGTGCCATCTGGTTTGACAAAGTGAGAGAGCCAAAGAGTAGCCATTCAAGTAACAGCTTTTTATCTCCATCAGTAAACTCACTGCAGATTACTATGGTCGGGATTCAAAACCTGACTAATCTGGGAATCAAGCCACATTCCATAGCTCAGCTGACTCCATACTAACGTGCATCTTGAGTACAGCCTGCTCTTTCTTAATCTAATAAATTACCCTCCTGTAAAATGAGCTCGTTCTGGGAACAATCACACAAAATCATGTTGCTGCTGCTGTTGTCCCTAATTCACACTATTTTACACACGCTCCATGACAACTGGGAGCAGGTCACTTCAGGATTCGCCCTGAAGTTGCTTCAATATGATATCTTTGCTTAATGAGAAACAGATCATTTAGCCCAAGATTTTATAACAGGCAAACGACTTTCACCTCTTGACCATGTATTCAAATTTACTTGGAATGGACAATAAGAGAATGAGAATCATTATTGCAGAAATGTTCAGCAGTGTCAATGGCAATTAATAGTCTACTGAAGACAAATTTAAATAGACTAAACAGCTAGGGGGGAAAATCCCACAAAACCTTTCCAGTTGGCCCGCCAATAGTCCTTTGACTGAGAAATGACTGTTTCTTTATTTTAACTAAACATGCTTTAGAAAAAAACAACAGCAATGAAAGAGCTGCTATCTACTTTTCACATGACACTATCAGCAAGACATTAACATAATGAAAATAAAATTAGCAGAGTCTTCCAAAGGAACCAAAGTGTTGACACTGTGAAGTTATATACCTAAGGGTCAAACTGAGCTGTTTTCCTAGGGTTCAAGTTAGATTTTAAGAAATCATTCCAAAACTCTAGACACAGGGACTCAAAGAACAATCTACACATTAGAATAAAGACTAGATGTACACTTGAAACAAATGTGACATTGTGTGTCAACGATACTTCGTTAAAAGAAAAAGACCAGAGTCACAACAGGAGTCACAATCACTTACTATAGAGATAAATACTAGGAAAGGGCATTTGTTTACACCAAAAAGTGATGAAAAATTAATAAGCAACCATAAAACTAGAAGAGTCCCATGTTTGCTACTTTTTCAGGTAATGATATTTGGCCTTCACTACCTCGGCAGTAGGTCCAGACTCCTAGTTTCTAGGTACATAGTAGCAACGTTTCTGATGTGGTTATTTGCCTGAGGTCAAAATTCTACCTATAGCATTTGGAAAGAAAGCAATCCCTCATCATAACAACGTCGCAACTGGATAAATGAAGAAAAGGGAAAGAAAAATCCGAGGACGCTGATTTCTCTAACACAGGCAGGTGTTCGGTGCTCTACTCCGACATACACTTATGTTTAAATTTAACCATAACAGCTGTAGAAGAAGCAACTCTCTTCCCCCCCAAAGTGTTCCTTGATTAACGCCCTAAAAGACAGTACACTTCTAATCTTGTACTCCAAAACTCTGGATCATTATGGTTCACTGCCCTTAGAGTGCTTTCGCTGCCTTCATGACCAAATAGCTGTCTGTGGTGTTGGAAGTGACCTTAACATTTCATCTAGTCCATGCCCTCATTTCACAGTTTTCTATATACTATTTTTCTCTTTAGATGCGGTGGTAGTAATGGTGACCACTTCCAGCTATTCATCAGCATGGTAACTTCCCTCTTGCTCTATTTACTTCAAAGCCAACTTCTGGGGAGCCCAGACCCACTGAAGTAAATGCTCACTGCCCCTACTTCTAATTCCCCTAGTGGAAAAACTTGAAAGCTGGATTGTAAAAACATAAAGTGTTGTATTCGGGTGATTCCCTAAAGTTGTACAGTGAAGGGAAAACGTTTGGGAGAATAGTAACTGAGGTAACAAACTTACTCAACATAGTATGTCCCATACTGAGGGTCCTCTATTTTCTCCCAGCCGTAAGGAAGTTCTGGAAAAAAAAAAAAAAAAAAGGAAATGGAGTAAAAAGCCAGATTCGAAACCAACAGGGAAGTATTCACCATGAGTGAATTTAAGTGTCTTTTATTTCATGACACTCATATTTGGGAGACCGGCAGAAAGCTGAGGACTCGCTTTCAAAGAACAAAATACGGTTTGAGTTTGAGTGACTTCTTCAGTAGCTAGTGAGTGTCTCAGCAAGTAATTAGGAGCCCAGAACAAAAGATGACATTCAACTCAGAAGTGTTTACCTGAATCAGAAGCCATAAAAATGTTAATTATTTAAAAAATCATCTGGTGTAGATCCTTCATTTAAACAGCTTGATAATGCCGGTGCAAGGCACACTTAACCCTCTAGCTCAGTACAAGCAGCGCTGCTTGTTCCATTTTTCCATGTATAAATAAGACTTGTCAATTATTTCTGTTATTCTGCCCCACTCCTCCCCCTAAAAAAAGTCCAGCCTTGGATTTTTTTCATTTCAGGTAAGCAACTGAGATTTCCTTAAGATCTAAGAAAATACCTACTCTCCCTTGCATGAACTTGACTTGAGTTTTGGGAGGAAAATGTGGAATAACTACCACAGTGCCTTGTGTAGAATCCATATTTGTGTCTGGTAACAAAGAAATATCTTACATAGGATTATTACATATTACTCATTCCAGGTAACTGACCAATGAAAGATACCCAGAAAAACTGAAGGTTGCTGAATTTCTGATAGCTTAAAAAAAAAAAAAAAAATCTGGTCTCTCCAATAGAAACTGACCCTGTCAAGAAAGAATCCTCGTTTCCTTCCCACTCTGTTTTCCAAGTTAAGGCTTCTGAAGAATCATTTTATTAGACCTGGATTAAGTTGGCAGGAATGTTCCTAGCAGGTGGTTCTAGTACTAACAATTTATACATAGGAGCCCAGCAAGAAGGAGTTTGTTTTTTTTTTAAACCCACAGTTATACACTATGATGATCCATACTTTCATTTTCAATTTCTTTTACAGTGTTTTCCTCCGAGGATGAAACACGCACATGCATGCAATATATGCTAGACAGCAAATAGGCTTAGATTATATCCAAAGATTTATTAATTTTCTCCTACTTAGCTGCAGTTTTGATGCACTGACTTTGTAAGTAAAAATGTCATATACAAACTATTATGCTCTAATAAAATTATTTCACATTCAGAATAAAAGGAGAGAAAAGCTCTGAATCACCTTCACCCCTTTTTTTCCATCATATTTTTCTGCCTGTGTGTGTGTGTGTGTGTGTGTGTATTGACTGACTGGTGGTTTTGAAGCTTGGTGGGTTTTTGTGGTTTTTCCTTTGAAGGACCTGGTTGAAATGTCTAAGGTGGAAAAGATGGGGACAGTTGAAAATGGCTACGTGAAAACAGAATAAAACAGCTGAGAAGAACTGAGACACACTTCAATTCACTTTGATCCTCCACAGCTATGAAGCAAATAACTCTCTATTCAGTAGGTATAATATTTTATGATCAGGTAACTGTTATGGGGAGAAGAGTATCTGTTGGATTATATCTGTAAAAAAAATGTTCTTTAATAATATTACCAAAGCGTTACCATTAAGGATCCTCCATGAAAGAGATTTTTTTCTTTAATAGAGAGTTTCTTGAAATAGCGTGGGAACTGAGTAGTGCTGAGTGAGGATGGATCCTATTACTGCACCACAACTGGATTTATCCTCTGTCTTTAGAAGTCTGGAGAGCTACAAGAACCGTAGAAACCATCTGATATCTAAAAAACTCACTAAAAAGAATGTATTAATACTTAATAAGGATAAAAGATCAACATAAATATATTTCAGCGTTCATCTGGAAGTTGATTCAGCATTTTAATTAGCAACTAACAGATAAAGCACATCCCTTTTTTAGGAGAGTAAATAAAATGGTAATTTATTTTCTGGGTTACTTTTAGTTATGGCTTTAATCCTTTACCACTGATAGCATTAGCCAGTTTTCTGCAGGGCAGAAAAATAAAGAAGTGGTTATTATTTGCCCATTCAAAAGAAAGTTAATAAAAGCAAAACTAAAAAACCCAGCATTTTATTCACTATCCAGTGGGTCAATTAATTCACTGGCTTCCTTCCCTTTTTCCCTCTCTCTCTTCTTCCTCTTTTCTTCTTCCTTATGCAAAAATAATTAGAAACACAACACAGTTCTTGACCTCAAAAAGTTCACAGTCTAAGCAGAAAGGCAGAAAAGATAAACTACATAATAAAGATAAACACCAGCTTCTGGGGGGGGTGGTGTGCAGAGGAATGACATCAATTGCCTGGTAAACTAGCAAGAAAGCCTTCTAAAAGAGGGTGATGTTTGAGCAGTCTCAAAGGATGATTTGGAAATGGGGAGAAGTGGGCCATTCCAACAGGTCAAAGAGCACTGAGGGGTTAAGAATGGGTGGCATTTTCCGTAATTACAAATAATTTGATAGGACTGGAGTGAAGGTTGTATGCAAGGTGCTTATCTTATAAGCAAGCACCAAATCACAAGGAGTGCCAGTTAAGGACTGCGATCTTTATTTAGATGACAATGGAACTGATTATGCTGGACAAAGGCAAAATTAAATTTATATTTGAGAGAGATTATGGGCAGCAGTAACAGAGCATGGAATAGATGGCATGGAGAATAAAGACAGACAAATAAGAAAATGGATAATAGCCTAGACAAGGAGTCATGAAGGCCAGAACTAAGGCAGTGGTAGATGGAACGGAGAGAGAGAACGTTTACAGAAGCCGGAGTAACAGGACTCAGTGCTGACCATGAAGCCTGAAGGAGGAAAAGACAAGAGGGGGCCAAGATGATTCCCAGGTTCCTGGCTCTTCTGGCGTGAAACGGGTACGTTATCAAATATTGACTGAACACCTACCATGAGAATAGCTCTGGGAATAGGAAAGCGGTATTCATTTGGATTTAGAGGCATTTAGGGGACAAATAATATGTAAAAAGTGCCTAGTACAGGCCTCAGCACCAGTGGACACTCAAGAGATGGCAAGCATTTAAAAATCAGAACTGAGAGAACAAAATGAAGAGGATACTATCGGTGAGGAGAAAGTTGAGGATGGGAACCGGCTGGGGCCCAATGAACTGGGAGGATGTGACGTCACTGTTGAGGGCAGAAGGGGAGGGTATACAGAAGACTGAGCTCAGTTTGGAAGGTAACACATTCGAGGGGCCTATGGAACATCCCGGCAGAGGTATCTCACAATTTCATGGAAAGAGAAACCTGGTCCTCAAAAGAGCAATGTGGGAAGATAAGGATTCGAGAGACATCGCATTTAAAAGCCACAGCAGAGCAGGGAGCACTGAGTCTTATAGGCAAACAGTGAATCGTGGAACACTACATCAAAAACTAATGATGGGGCGCCTGGGTGGCTCAGTCGTTAAGCGTCTGCCTTCGGCTCAGGTCATGGTCCCAGGGTCCTGGGATTGAGTCCCACATCGGGCTCCCTGCTCCGTGGGAGGCCTGCTTCTCCCTCTCTCACTCCCCCTGCTTGTGTTCCCTCTCTCACTCCCCCTGCTTGTGTTCCCTCTCTCGCTGTGTCTCTGTCAAATAAATAAATAAAATCTTTAAAAACAAAACAAACAAAAAAACTAATGATGTATTGTATGGTGACTAACATGACATAATAAAATTAAATTAAATTAAAAAATAAATGAATAAAAGCCACAGCAGGGGTGCCTGGGTGGCTCAGTCAGTTAAGCATCTGCCTTTAGCTCAGGTCATGATCTCCAGGTCCTGGGATAGAGCCCTGCATCCGGCTTCCTGCTCAGCAGGGAGTCTGCTTCTCCCTCTCCCTCTGCCCCTCCCTCACCCCTGCTCATGTGCTATCTCTCGCTCTCTCAAATAAATAAATAAAATCTTAAGAAAAAAAAAAAAGCCACAGCAGTGGACAAGATTACTTGGATAAATTGTGAACGGAATAAGGTAGAGAACAGAACCTCAGGAGTGTTCACAATTTAAGGAGCAGATGGAAAAAGTAAGAATAGTCAGGGGGAAGGGTGTCAAAGAAGACAGGGGAGGAGAGCATGGTCAACACTAATACGTGCTCTGTAAAGCTGTGAGAACCAAAGGGCTGAAAAGAGACCATCAAATCTGGCAAACAGGAGGCTATTCATGACCTTAAGACAAGGACTTTCACTGAAAAGATAGGGGGCGGAAGTCAGCATACTGTAGTAGTCGGAGGGAAAACAGAAGGTGAAGTCCTTAAGAAGAGATGACTTTTTTTTTTTCTTTTGAAACTTGGTTGTAAAAAATTAGTTGAGAACTGGCAGGAGTAGGGTCAAGAGAACATGTATTTATCTACTATTGAGAGAGGAAAGACCTAACACCATATCTTTCTGGGCTAGAAGCCAGAGCATTCTCCCCAAAAGCTGATTCAAAAGGAAAAACCATTTCTGGCAATATCAAGCAGCTGGTTGGTTCTACAGCCAAAGAATTTATCTTTGTTTCCTCTTGCCCAAATAATATTTTTCTTATTTAAATATATGAATTGCAATTGTTTTCTCATTGTGGAGCGGTAGTCAGTTGATAATTCTTTTTTATCATTCTCTAAGCTCCACAATACCATCAGCATTTAATACTTTTTAGCCTTTAGTAAAAATGGAATCTTTCATCATAAAAGAGGTGAGTTGGGTATAAAACGGATTCCTGATGTTGTATTTTTAAGATAACTATTTAACCAAAACACTACTTATTTTATTTGAATGAATATAGATATGTACATCAATTAAACCATTAGAGATAGCATCAAGATACAGTTGGGTTCTGAATATCAGAAGACTAGGAAGGAAAAGGGCAAGTTTTAGAAACTAAGGGTTTTCTAGAAGATCTTAAATGTTTAGCAGAATGCAAGCAATAAGCATCTTAAACTATAAAAACTTACATTTAAAATGTCTTCATTATTATTATCCCTTATTGAGCATCTACTCTGCAAAGCACTGTGGAGATCACCAATGTTAAGTCAGATATAGTGTAATGGGAG